GCTGCAAATTAAATGTTTTTGCCTCAGCGACTGCCATGCAAATGCGTTCTAAAAGCCTTTTCGAGTTATTAATGTGCATATATGGTCAGTAATTCAGGCAGGCGCTCAGTCAGTTAGATCACTTGGCTCACATCTCCCTGCAGGGGCAAATCAATCGGGACACTGGGAGAAAATATGGCTCCCAAGCTAGGTAGTTATAATCAGTTCTAGGTGATGACAGACTATCTATTTGGATATTTTAGCATTATAAGTATATACGAATTTAACAATAAAAACAAAATATAATATTAAAATAATGAATCCTCTGGAACTGAACTCATTTCGAGCATGAAATCATTATACATATGATTATGTTTAGTTCCTTATTTTAATTTAACAATCATTGAAAATTGAGGAGTTTTTTCGTAGTGCATTTTAAACGAAATGATTTTACGAAAAGCAGCACAAGTCAGTTGAATTGGAATATTTATGACCTATGTAAGTACGTCCTGCCTCTCTATATCGCCAAGGTAAATGGCGTGCTTATCGACGCTTTTAAAAAGAATCACTCTAATGCCCATAAATATGAAATGCTCAATTTGCCACTCAATAATTTCAGCGATAAGAATAAGTTCACCTTTCAGAAGGTTCCAGAAAAAGCAAAAGTTTGAAATTACAACTTTTCTTTTTTAACTAATACCCACTAGTAATTCGAGTTGTGGTGACATGGAGTTTATAGTTTATTAAAGAGACTACAGTAATTGAAACTGCAGTTTTACTTTTTCAACTGATACTAACTATTACCTCGAGATGTGGTGATAAAACTAATTTAAATCACAATACAGTACTATTTTTAGGGAGTTGAAACTCGTAATTTAATGTTATATTTTTCAATTTTTTTTTTTTTTGGGAAACGGAATTGTTTTGAGGATTTGTAAAACTAATACAAATATAGCGATATTCCTTGGGAATAAAATGAAAAGGTGTAATTTCTATTGTCATATTATGTTGGGTGGTCGGAAATGCAATTGCTTTCGGCATACAGAAGCTGAAAATGTTTTCGGGATCTGAAGAGGTTACCCAGGGGCTGCGATAAGGCCGAATGATCTGAAGAGCCTCCACACAAGATTTTCACATGTTTACATAGCTGTGCCGGCGATCGGCTCTTAACAAGCCCACCGCTAAGTGCTCCATGTTTGCGTTTGGCCCGGAGTAAATTTGATTTGATTTGTGTTGATCTACTGTCCACCTCCTCCTCCTCCTCTTTATCTCCCTTCTCTCTTCTTTTATCTTCTCTTTTCTAGCTCCTCCTTCTTCCCTTTCTCCTCGTTTTTGCGGGGGCTTTCTTAAAGCGGCAAGTGTCAAGCGATGCGTGGCATCGTTCAATTAAGCGCCGCGCAAGCAATTCAAACTCAGATTCATATTCCTTTTCATATTCAACTTCAACTTGACATACACTAAGCAAAACCAAAAGGGCAAGTACAGAGAAAAAAATTGTGTGCTTTTTACAAATACATATGTATATTTTAGAAAAAATTAATAACTGTCTTTACTTTTATAGAGAAATCACTATTTATTTTACATTTCAAATTTGCATTCAATGGTATAAGTATTTGTGGTTTAAAAGCAAAAGCGTATACAGAAGTTCGACTTATAAAGACCTTTTTTTATAAGGATTATTTTGTAAAGATCGATGTGAATTTTAATTCAAATTTATTTTGAGTGATCTGTTTCAAAATATATATAAAGCTTTTTTTATAAAGATTGTTTTGTCTACATCATTTTGAATTTCAATTTTAATTTATTTTAAGTGCTCTGCTTCAAAATATACCTATTTATAATATGCTAAGCACTGTTATTAGTAATCGAGGTAAATGTAAGTTTGTGTTTCAGAAATGTATCTGAATAATACTTAACCAATTCTTGGTTATTCATTGTTGACTATAACAACATAAAAATTATCAATTTAAATACATGACATAAAATTACACTCTAATGATCCTTTTTTTTCGTGTGCAGCAAATGGAGGCGAAAAATTCTTCACCTTTTTTGTACTTTTCTCTTTTTAGTTTTGTGTTTCTTGAGCTTGCGATCGTTTGAGAGACGCAGCCGCTAGATCGCCGTAGCCAAACTGGCGCTCGCTCAACTCAAAATCGCGCAAGAAGAGAGCAGAGAGCACACCAAAAGAGAGAACCCAACAGTGATGCCAGGTATGGTACGAAAAAAAAGCGCTAGAACGTAAAAAAGTCTAGGCTCAAAATTTTTTAAGCATTACGCATACGACTATTTGTACACGAAATGCGCATACGATTAGTTACAAAATTTGTATTTTAATATGCCTTTTATGTAAAATAATTATATTCTTTTTTACGTTTTGTTTTTTGAAAGAACAAAAGACTTAGAAATACAATTTTCAAAATGAAAATTCATAAAAAATTGAACACAACAAAATGTAAAACAAATTTTATTCAATATACTAAACGACTCTAGGACTTGAACTTGAACCCTTATAGAAACAAATGTGCTTCAGAAAGCACTAAGTCAAAACCTTACTTATAAATTTTTCTAGTTTGCAACATTATTATTTTTATCCGAAAGTTCTTTTTTGCCAGTTCTTTTAGACACCTTTTTTACTGATTCTAATGGATTTAAGGCTAGAACTGAAGCTGAAAGCTCAGCACTGACTACCGCTCTGCCGCCGTTTGCCGCTCGTGGCGGAGATTGGAAGTGGAGATTGAGATTGGCGGTTAACGTTTAGCGTTCGGCGGTTTGGCGCTCAGTTTGTCATTTGCACGCGCTTACGCCGGTTGGCCGACCAACAAAAACAAGGCTACAGAACCGAACCGTCTGACCGCACGCGTGTTTCAATTTGGTGCGCTGATTTCACTGCTAATATAAATAAATGCGAATATTTACTTGGGCAATTTACGGCTAAGGTTCGCTTAAATATATGTACATATATACTTTTTTTTTTGTTTATGGAGTGTGTCTATATTTCCCATATGTGTCAAAATCTGCGTGTGTTTGTGTGTGTGCTGGAGCCGCCATAAAGTTCAAAGTAATAAAAAAAATAAAACGGGAAAGAAGGAAAAATTTGTTTGCGTTTGCGTTGCAAAAATGCCGAGAAAAGCTAAAAAAGAACTCAAACAAACAGAGAAGAAGAATTTTTTTCTCTCTTGGTTCTTTTCTCCATTTTTTTCTCGGTGGTGATCATGATCACCAGCCCACGCAACAAAACCAAACAAACAAAACAAAAACAAATTGAAGCTACAAACAAGAATTTAACATCTCTCTATATGCTGCAATTTGAATTTATTTTTTTGCAATTCCCCCGGGTTAATCTTAATTAGCAGTGTTTATTTGTGAACAAAACGCCCCCTTGTTAAAAAAAAAAAAAATACAAATTGGCAGACACCTTGCCATATATCCATATCCATTATGTCCGCCGCTCGTCATCATCGTATTTTGATATTTCAAGGTTAAATGACGACGGAGAAAAGCAAACGTGAAATAAAAATCTGTTTTTAGTTTGCTTTTGCCATAAAAACGTTTTCTGTTTGGCAAAAAGTCCAACCCCAAAGTCAATATTTTAAAGAGTTTATCGAAATTTGTTTCAAAGTACAGTCAAGTCTCTAAGCTGAAACTCCTAAGCTGAATTGGTTTAAAAAAAACATGTTATTATTGAGTGTTGTTTCAAAGTTCAAAACTCAAAATTTCCTAAAACTCTTTTTATATTATCTGGTTGGTATGATTCAAAATACTAAGAAGATCAAAACCTAACTCGAGTGTTTTAACAATTATATGTTGGAAAAGTATATAACATTAATCCATTTTTTTATTTTGTTCATATATAAAACTCGTAAAAAGTGGATGCTCCAAATTGTTTTTCATACCACCATTTCAGACCTATTCTCAGAACTTTTTGTTTAGCTCGAAGCTCTAATAACTCAAAATTAGCTATGTAAATGGAAAACTAAAGGAAGCTCACAGCCTTTAGACCAAAGTCAAAGCTATTAAAGGTTCAACGAAATTTGTGCCAAGTGTATGAAAACAAGCGATATTCAACAGAAACCAAAACAAACTGCACGAATTTCAAGTAGTAGAAAGCAAAGAGCAGCAGCTCAACAGGCTAAAAACATTAACCCCGTCAAGTGCCCTCAGCATTCTACTACTACTTTTTCGCTTTTAAAGTGGTTGGACCTTTGGCTAAATGAGCTTTTGCGGTAGACTCGCTTTTAACAGTAATTTTTACGAGCTTCGGAAGAAAGTCGGTGACAATTGTGCAGCCGATAAGATTTGCTAAATTGCTGGAAAGCCTGCAGTTAATTGCTATCTTTCAAAAGAAAGCATTCATTTCGAGAGACAACGAGACAAAGAAAATTGAAAGATTTTTCTAAAAATTTGTTAAGTGAGAAAATATCAACGAGAAAATAATATGCATGTATTCAGATTAACGAAGAATATTCTAAGAATGTTTTAAATGCAGAGCTTTTTACAAAGCATTATCCTATTGGTCAAATATTTAAGAAAATTTAATCTTTTTTAATCTTTGACTGAAAATTTAAAAAAAAGGAAAAATCTCTTAGAACTATGATCCTTTGATCTAAACGACAATTATATCTTTATAGATTTAACTATTGGAGCAAACCTTAATAGATAATTTGCAATATTTAAATCTTATCCATTATTTTTTCTTGATATCGATACATCATAAAGATAGTTAATTATAACTTTAACCCTCAAATTTCCACCATGACTGATTCCCAACTGTCTCTCGGTTAAAAATATTTGAGTTAGTCATTAAGTTTCCAGAAAATTACATTTTGCCGTGTAAGCTGCATGGAGTAATGCGAAAACCCTTGGTAACCAAATACACATGTGTCATCCTGCAAGAATTGAGTCAAATTGTGTGGCAATCGCTCGACTTTCTGACTCATTTACAATCTTATCGCAATCGATAAAAACAGTGATAAGATAATGCTTTTAACCCGATTCGACAGCATGAAACGATATTTAACTCAGTTAACTGGGGCATTGCAATTGCAGCCTTTCGATTCGCTTAGTTGTCTTTGATTTAATTCAAGTCAATGGTTACAAGTCCATGAAATGTGCTAATTATTGTTTGCACATTTAATTGTGGTTTACAAAAATTCCAAAATGCATACATATATGCATTTTTAAAGCTTTGTTTGCGAAATAATCAAAACATTGCACAAGTCTCAAGTGGTTTTAAATGTTTTGTTAAGCTTTAATGTTGCCAACTTTTGTAAAAACTAATATACGGATTAATTATTAGTGAGTAAGAGTTTTATATTGTAAAACACAATATTTATCAAGCAAAACTTTAAGAAAATATTTAAACATTTTACCCAGCCTTGTTCTTAGCTATAGAAACGTTACCATATTATCCACTTCTTTAAATACCTTCAAAATTATGGAAGTTAAGAGTGCTGGCTAAATAAGGCTATGTGCCAGTATTTATATCATAATGGACGCCTAATTGGACAACGAGTAATTGAAGTAATTCGGGGGGCTTTAAAGCAGATTGTGCCTCTAGTTCTGAGTCCAGGGATTTAACGGTGCGTGTATGCTACTTTTTTACTTGACAGGAAATGCAATTGCGCTTTAATTTAATTTCCTAAGCCCAAGTGCACTCAATGAACACAACTTGATTGAATGGGAATTACCCCAAAGGGTTGAAAACAGCGTCTGCGACACATCCGCAATTTTTAGGCCCCGATCCATGGTGTATAAATAATGTACTTTTACAAGTCTTAGATTATTTAAGGATGACTTTATACCTTACCCTGTCAACTACAGATAAGATAGGATCCCTAGAAAAGTGTGTCAAGTCAGTCATATAGCAACTAAGGCAATCAAGACTTTAAAGTTATAAAAATGTTATAAACAAGAAATGAATAAATGAATAAATATACCCTTGCAGCTTTTGCAAAAACTAAATATTCTTGAAAACATTACAATTATGATTTACTTGCGTATATGTTTAAAAACATAGATGATTTGCAGCTTAATTATTCGATAGTTCCTATAGCAGCAAAATGATATCGTTTTCCGATTTAAAAAAATTAAAAGCGTAACTCTGAACTGCAAACTTTTGACTGAAATTATAATACCCTCTGCAAGGGTAAAAAGAAAAAAAAAACAAAAACTAAGAGCAGAGGTTCAAGTTAAGATTACCCTCAGCTTTAAAATCACACATCAAATATTTAAAACAAAATATTATAACTTTTTTGACTTAGCATTTCCGGATTTATGTAGCTTCGTGAAATACTTGGCATAAACGTATGTGATGGCCAACTTGGAGACTCTGGAATGCCCATTCGTGCCGGTTACTCGAATTCCTCGACTCGTGCGCAAATATTTTAACAGTCGCCACTTGAGATGGCAAGCTGACTAAATTTCCTCTCGCTTAAATTGAGTTTTATAAACAAATGGAAATGGAAATGGCCGTAAACAAATAACAAAGCATAATTGCTTATGTTCGGGCTACCAGACCCACCAGACATGGTCTCCAATTCCAGGGCCAAAATGAGACCTCCGAATTCAATTAACAGGCACCGTGATTGAAGGGTTGGTTCACTACTGGTGAAGTGATCACAATTGGAGAGTGTGTTGTGATTCAATTAGAGCCTCGTTCTCTTCCCCGGCTTGAAAATCGTTGTTGGGCAATAACGTTAGCTAATTATGATCGACACTCTCAACTGTCCAAAGTAGTTGGACGATGCTTCGCCTTGAGATCGCCAATCGATCACTCAGTTTTGGGACAGCTTGAATTTCTTGTCTCAGTTTTGCAAGATTTTTTCTCATAGAACTGGGAACTATTACCGAAACAATTCTAAAAGCTATAATATTATACACAATACTTGAAATTTTTTCATTTACCAATTAGAGTCATGACTTTTTTTAAAAATTTTAATTAAACCTTTTTTTTTAAATTCATTTAAGCGACCAAAGAAATCGCAAAAAGAACTACGATTTTAGTAAGAGCCCGCTAGCAAATTTGTACTGGCGTTTGACCTCGGTATCTTAACATTAAGTATAATTTCTTATCAGCATTGCAAAGGAAATGAGACTTTTGGAAAACTTTCACTCAAGTAGTTTATTACTACTTCACTGCGTTGCAAGCTTTCACACTCATAGAAAAAATTCCCAAAATTTAGAAATCTCGCCTTTAAATCGGCTAGTCTTTGAATCAAAGACAAAAATTTCTTGATTCAAGAAAAAGTTGTAATTAAAAATGGAAATCCTTTCTGATTGTAAGCTTTTAAGAAAAAAAACTTTTTTAAAAATAGAAAAAAAAACTTAATTTTGTTTTTTTTTTCGGACGAGAACAGCAACAACAATTTGACTTTGAGTTCCATAGAGCAATATCCTTCAAAAATAGAAAACCAGCCTTTGACTCACAAAAGCAATTCGAAAGAAAAAGAACGATAAAATACGAAGTCAACGATGTCAGTCGGATGACTTTGCCGAAAGCTCAAATGGCGTTCGGTTCAGCAACGTCATTCATTAGGATTTTAAAGGAGAAATCGCCTTTGAGATCAAGAAAGAAGTATCCCTCAAGTATAGAAAAGCAGCCTTTAACTAAGCCGATTAATGGTTGCCTAGCGGCTAAGTTGCCTGACCAGAAATAAATCTGAGCAGCAGCACGAGTTCGAATCCCCCATTTCGAGATTATTTCTTTTTTGTATTGATAAAAAAGGGAAATCACTCACGTGTCCTAATGTGCTTAGCTAAGTTAAGGCAGACAAAAAACTTAAGGAAATTATTTAAAATGATAACAACTTTTTATAGTAAATACAGGAAAATAAACAATTTCTGAATATATTGTATCAGATTTGTATTTGTATTTATTATAAAATTTTATCCTAACGCTACAAGTTTGGAACTTATAAATTAATGCGCTAGTCACTTAGAGTTTGCAAATATTTAATTGTTACATTATACTTAAAACTAATTTTCATAAAAAGTAACCTAAGTCGCCTTCTATTTTTATTTTAATTCACGGAATAGTGTTTTTAAGGTGTGTGAATAATTTTATCTTGAATTGCGTGGCACTGCAACTATTTTTAAGACGATCAGTTCCATGATCGATTAGCATTAATTAAAAATTGTCTTTCGGATGTCAATGATCTAGGTCTTATGCAAGTAAGATTGTTTGCTCTTCTAGAGGATGTAAATTGAAGTTTTTCGAAAAGATACGAAGGTTCTTATTAGAAAATAATTTTTTGCAGAAAAATTAAGTTTCGCATCTTTATCCATTCATTTAGCGAGATATCGAATATTTTCAGCGAAAATTCGGATACGTGATATCTATGTGGTTGGTTGAATATATACCTGCTTATGCAATTAAATAGAACTTCAATTTTGTTCTTACTGGTAGTGTCACAGTTTGAAAAAACTTCTACTCCATAAAATAGCGCTGGAACAATGCAGGTTTTAGCTATAAGTAAACGTATATGGGTGGGCAGGCAATTTTTAGTTACGGATAATGTCCTTATTATGCCATATGTTTTCCCTACAGACTTTGTAATATGATCATTCCAGGTAAGAGTTCTGTTGAATGTAAAACCTAAGTTTACAGCTGTATCAACGTACTCAAGTGGCGTGCTATTCATACTCAGTGGCTGCAAATTGAAAAGATATGATTGTTTTGATTATTTTTAACATGACTCGTCCAAGCTGACGAAACAGTCATTACTTTTGACATTCATTCTTTGAGTGCGAACATAGCCTAGTGTTACAATGTCCAACTCCCGCGCGGAAGGCCTGGGTTCGATTCGCCGACGACCAAATAATAATGTGCATTTTTTTCAAGTTTTGGTATTATTTGTGCATTACAATGTTCTAATGTGAATTTTAAAAATCATGTTTATCTTTATCATCTTCTACCCCCCTAGTTAAATTTTAAATTAAATTGCATGTGTGTTAGCTAGCGGGGGTGTTCTTCTCGTCGCGCGCTTTATTTGTGAGAGTAGTTTGCACGTCGAAACTTGTCAGTGTGTGTATGTCGCCGACTGCAATTTCATACAAATAACTGTTCGTGTCGCGACGCTTCCTCTGACAGAACTTTGAGAAACTATCTTATTTTTAAGAAATATATTTTTAGCTTTAAGAAATATTTTTTATAATTTTAAGAAATATTTTTTCTTGATTTAAGACATAATATTTCTAACTTGAGAAATTTTATTTCTTGGTTGAAGAGCTGTATTTCTTGTTTGAAGAAAGAAATCAAGATTAATTAAAGAAATAAATTTTCTTCAAATGAAGGCGACTGTCTATTGCGAAAATTCAAAGGCGATTTTAATGGATTTTAAGAAGAAATTTCTATGAGTGTAGTGAAATTAAAATAATCCCTTTGCAAAAGTTTTTTAAGGATTACATTAATTTACGTTACTGGTGTATTATGTCTTAAAAACTGGTAAAAAAAAACGTTTACCTCGATTCACAGAGTTTCCACAGAAAATTCTAGTAGAGAAAGTACAATTTTTTGTTGCTTTTTCATCTAGGACAACGAAAAATAAAATTAGCATAGTACTATTTGCCATAAATTATCTATTATATTAAATATCAATGAATAAGTATAGGTATAGGAATCTTGAGTTTAATCAGGTAGGTACTTTGAGTTAGAACAGTTATAGAAAAGCTACCCGCATTATCTGCTATAAAGAGGGAAAAATTGAGCTCACTTGTGGGGTGACAAGCCAAAAGCACACACACACACACAGCACAGCAATTTGACACACAACCGCAAATACACAACTTTAACTCATACAACCAAATGTGTACATGAATAATACTATGTAGATAAGAAACACCTTCAAAGATAAGGCTGAAACGAATCGGACTTTATCAGCATTTCCACGGAACGCTTACGGCGGAGAGCAGTGCAAAACGGAGCGGATGGTAAACACAACTGAAAAGTCAACGTAGAGTGAGCCGGAGAATAGGCGGAAAGAAGAGAGCGAGTGGAGAAACATAGGTTAATATGAGTGAATAATTAGCCATAGGCGGATCAGTCGAGAAACCATGCGGAATATCAGAAATCTCAAGGATCCCACGGCATGGACATGGCTCCTCCTGCCCCTCTTGTCCCCCCTGCTCCTCCTCCACCCCGTTCAGGCGGATCTGACGAAGGTGACCTGCCGGGAGTATGGAACCACCATTACCTGCGATTGTAACAACTCCGACCAGGTGAGTCACCCTACAGGCAAAATAACTAATGTTTACATACGGTACTTCTAATCTAAACAATGAAATCATAACCGTTTTTTAAACAAACATATTCTATGACCTCATCATTCCAATTTGAAAAAGTTTTATAAAAAAGTGTTAAAAACTTGTATTTTAAATTAAAATCTTTTAAATGCCCAAATGAGTAGCAGAAGCATTACTTAATAAGCAAACATATGAAAAGGATATGACAAATACATCTAAAAGCAAATTACATAAAACTTAACGTAATATTTACGTATGATGAATAATTTGAAGAGAAAGGTGGTACACCTTATATTCATCATTTAGTTATTAAATAAATCAATTATGTATTTTTCTGATTTTTTAGCAGATTACTTATGCAGATTATTAAGTACATTTTTTATTTTCTATATTGGCAATCAAAAGCCCTTTTATTTACTTTGTTTTGTTGATCAGATTTCTATTACATATCCCTAAAACAGTTTTGTTAAAAAAGGCTTCAAACCATATTTTTTTGTGAGTAATTATTTAAAAACAAATGTTATACACCCTATTGTCATCAGTAAGGATGTATAATTGTTAAGCTAATTATCAAATTGAGCAAGATTTGTTTTACATATCCCTAAAACTATTTAAAAAAAAAATGTTACTCTAGCCTTTATAAACATTTCCTTTTTATTATATTGTTGAATATTTTTTATTAACCTGTTTTTATGTACCATTTAATGAAACTTTTTTTATTTTCAGCCTATGGTTTTACCGCTCCTGCATGGAAGCGTCTACCTGGTGGAGATCCGCAATTGTCGCGACCTTGTGGTGGAGGCCAATCGGCTGGCAGACACTGTGGGCCTGCGAAAGGTTACCTTCCGCCAGGTGGGTCAGCTGGTGCTCCGGGAACACGCTCTGAGTGTGCCCCGCTATGCCAGCAACAAGGCACTGATCGTGGAGTTCGAGCAGACGAACCTCCAGCTGATCGAGTCGCATGCCATCAACGGCAACATCGAGGAGATCTCATTCGTGGGCGGACGGATCGAGCTGATGAAGCCCTTCGGGTTCACCACCACCAAGGACAGTGCCATATTGCTCAAATTCGACGGGGTCACCATCCAGCGCATTGAAAGTCAGGTGAGCCAGATGATACGACTTCACAATATTCACGGATTACTTATCCCCATATATTATTTGCAGGCCTTTAAGAAGTTCGCCGTGGAACAAATGACCATCGCCAACTGTCAATTTCTGGGTGATCTGCCCACGCGGGCTTTCTACGAACTGGAGGTCACCAACGAGCTGAGTCTGCGGGGCAATCACTTCCAGGAGGTCCACTCCCATGCCTTCTCCTTCAAACGTAAGTGTATATTGGTTTTTTGGTTTTAAAAGTGAATTACCGATTTTGTTTGGTCTTATAAATTTATCAATATTTTTTGAAGTAAGCCTTTTTCGTTTTAATGTAACAACCTCACTAAAGCTTCAGGCCTTTTATAAGTCCTTAATTGATATAAATATATTTCACGTTTTATACGTGAGTTTTGTAGCAATATCGATAGCAACATTTGCCCACTTTAAGGGATATTTTTTTGTCTTTTTCTAATTCTTTAAATATATTATTTTCAATATTATCCAATCCAGTTATCTCTTATATTTCCTTGCCTTTGCCTATGATTTTTTTTTATTGTCAATTTAGTTCAATCGTCTTCCAGAAATTTTCTTGATGACCCAGTAACACGATCATAATGCCTAACTCTCTTCCAGTTGTTTCCAAGTTGAGTCTGAGCGACAACCACTTTGTGTCCGTGGACGGCGAGTGGTTGGAGGCCCAAATCCGGGATGCGGTCTCCATCCGAGGCAACGATTTCGGGGCCACCAGTGAGATTGCCTTCCGCAGCCTCACCGTTCATCGATCGTATCAACTGAGTGAGCACTTGGAGCTCCGCTTCCACAACAACAGCCTGCGAAGCTCTCGTCCAGGAGCTGATCCCCGGGTCGATGGTGCCGGAGTAGCTCAGGTGGCACCTCAACCCCTGCGTTTTGACGACAGATTCACCGTGAACATCCGGGATCTTCGCTATGACAATGCCTGGAACTGTGAGCAGCTGGACAGGAATGTGGAGCCAGCACTGCCACGGGCGGACTTCTTTCGAGCGCACAGTGATCAGTTGTTGTTCCATCCACCCGACTATGTGACCCAGTCCGGCGGAGAACGACAACTCGAGCCGTATAAGCCACTGCGAACACTAATCACTGATCAGTGTCGCCAGCGGAGCTACCTGGCCTACATAATCTCGGGAAGTGTGCTCCTGGGATTGCTCCTGCTCCTGCTGATCCTCCTGCTCTGGTGGCGAGTGGTGCAAAGACGACGACGCCGCAAACTGGACGTAGTGCAGCCGGAACCGCGCACTTACAAGGAGACTCAGATCGTATACCAAATCGAGAATGCTGGCCTGCTAAAGACTGATTTGTAGATGTCAAGGAAAGACACTGGGAGGAGGTCTATTCAGAGATTCCTCCCAGAAACACACAACCCACAGAGACACAGAGCTGAATGAAGCTAGAGGAGCGGGTGGAGCACCACCACCCATCATACGAAACCACCAATGCGTGACCTTTCGCTGTACCAAAACAATAGCCTACAAGTTTAGTCGTTAATAATCGTATTCTATAATTATGCTTAAAGTCGTAATGTTTGTCAGCTTTTAAGATGCCCATGTAAATAGTCGCATGTAGGCTGGGATCTTGCCCAGAAATATCCAGGTGGGTTCGCCATATCCCACCAAATACTTATATGGAATAAATCAATCTAAAGCCAAAAGGGGCGTTTGTATTTTATGAGGTTCAATATTTATACTAAAGATTTTACTTATAATATTGGGTGCAAGTATGTAAATAGCTTAAATATTTAAAAAGTGCATAAGATATTCCTGGATCTATATATATTTACATATATATATATAGTATTCCTATTCTTTGAAAAGCTTAAGAATTTTTCTCTAAACAAATTTTCTGAACTTTCAATTAATGAATATTTTTAAAATAAACAAAACAAAGGGCAAAACTCTGTATACTGTAAGATGATAAGCTAAAATTGTGTATATGAAATTTTATATATATTTACAAAGTTTGCATGCAATATTTCTAGAAATTGCATACACATACATATGTTTATAAAATCCAAAAGCCTTTGAGGAAATGTCTTGCAAAGGTTTATTGAAGATTTTGTTACAATTATTGAGACCTATTGATCCTATCAGTTTCCTAAACAATATGAAGAATAGCAAGTTGAAAAACTCACCCGATGGGCAGATACGATTCCAGAGCCTGGTGCACGGTCAACTGGGGTTCGGATAGGGCAAATCCCTTAGAGAGCAGGGTGTGATGGGCGTTGATGGTCTCCTCGATGCCGCTCATGTCCTCCACATCCTTGTCATCTGATGGTTTAAATAGGACATTTAGAGTATATGCTTTAATTACATTCAAATTTAAATTATTTACCTGGCAGATTGAGTTCCTTCTTCATGAGATTGGCACTGCACATGCCGCCCAAGTAGGCCAACTCCTGTTCCAATCGAATGAGACACGAGTTGCTGGCATTGATCTGAGCGAGATGGAAAAGCATGGATTAGAAAGAGATGGGTTTATTTATGTAAAGAGTTTTTGGGGAGTACCTACATAAATACTTATAATTAGGTACGTATCTAGGTAATCAAATATTGTACTTATGACCTTATCTATATAAACAAATGAATGGCTACCTTTTTAACTTTCTTAGGTACTGAAAGCTAAGCTGGGCACTTAGGTTTGAATATATGTATTTATTTTTTGTACTTAGAAACCTAAAAAATGGTGTACCTAGGTATTCTTTGTTGGCAATGTCTTGTACCTTACCTAGGTACAACAAACGAGTATCTTTTCCAACAGTCTTTATGCATCACCAGGGGAATACTTACCGATGTGGGGTTGTCGTAGCCCACCACCAGACACTTGAAGCCATAGCGATTGTTGTGCGGATCCTGGGCGTAAAGTGAGGCCGTCTCCAAGGAGAATTCCACACAGTTGCCGGGCAGAATGAGGACATTGTGCAGCCAGGTGGAGGCTCTAGAAGATTAGAGCTTTAGTTAACATCACCCTCAATTGCAAATGTATTCCCACTTACGTGTTGAACTTCTTGACCACAATCCACTCCCTGTCATTGGGATCCTGGCTGCGCAGCGGAGGCATAGAACTGGCAGCCGTTGCGGATCCTGGCGCGTTTCCGCCACCCGGACTGCGACAGCAACTGGCCATGGTCAGCTGCACACTGGCGGATCGCCGGTGGGAGCTAGGTGGTGCTGTGGCAACGCCACCGCCGGCAGTGCGTCTCCTGTCCGCCCCTGCACCATGTGCATAGTTATCCGCCTGCTCCAGATAGTCGTCCACGTGCGGAACGGACTGTGCCTGCTGCGAAGCCGGACGCATGGGAATCGAGAGGAGCAGGTAGTCCTCCAGCTGGGCAGTGCCACACTGCGGATCGAACTCGATGGTGAGCCACTGGACGCAGGGCGGGAACTCCACGCGATAGCTACTGATGCTGGCACTGCGATAGGGGTGCTCACTCTCCACCAGACAGTAGTGGTTGCTCGTGGTGCTGCTGCTGCTGCTCGAATTGGACCCCGAACTGGAGTTCTGTGGCGCGAAGATGGCCGGCTCCGGCTGACGCTGATCCTTGGCCACATGCAGCTGATTCAGGGCAGCTATGTGCGGCAGGATCTCCTTGATCAGGCCGAGTATCTGGACGGAGCTCTTGGGATCACTGCAGGCCAGATTGGCAATGTGTGCATAGACCAGTGGCAATAGCGTATGGAACATATTGGAGGCGGACAGATTGAAGACCTCCAGCAGCTGCACGGCGGCCACTTGGCTGCCCACGGCACCCACTCCGCCGGATTCACCGGCAATACTCGCTCCACCGCCGCCGCCGCCACCCAGAGGAGCAGCCGAAGCAGCAGAAGCGGCCGCCATGCCGGCCACCTCCAGAGGAGCCTCCTCCGAATCGGAATGCACGGTCACGGTTTGTTGCGCCGGCAACTCGGCTACCTCGAAGTCCGTGGTCCTCTCGTTCCCATTTATCGGCACACTCTGACTTTGACTTTGACTTTGGCTCTGACTCTGGCCATTCCTCAAATCCGCCGACTCCTCCACTTCGGTGGCTCCAATCTCGATTTCCATCTCGAAGGGGTTCGTTGATCGCTTGTCAAACTTGAGCGTCTCCATGAGGCCCTTCGAGAAGGACTCGATGCGTTTGCCCAAATCCCTGGCGGTGGACAGCTGCGGATCCCCTGCAGCAGGCAGCTGGGCCGCTGTCCTCGAGTTGTTCGCCCAATTGATGTCCATGTGCTCCTCGATGGGTGTGATATTGTGCTCCGAATCGATGGTCTGCGTGTGATTCGAACTATTGTCCGAGGGCGAGCACGAAGCGGCCATGGCATTGCGTGCCAGGATCAATAGTTCGGTACATTTTTTGGTTATATCAGCGGCGATTTGTAGGGCCGTGTCGCGGGTGGAGACCTCATGGGGGCCGAGAAGCATCAGGCGCTCCTCCACGTGATTGGCCACATTCGAGCCATCTGTACCTCCTCGTCCACCACTGGCCGCATTTCCGTCCTGTTTCATGGGTGTGCTGTAGTACAGGATGCACGGCAATTGACCCCTGGCCGGAGTGGTGCCATTGAAGCTCAGATCGCAGGCATAGAAGTGGAACTGGGCGCCACATGGTCCTCGGACAGCCGACATTCCGGCATCGCCGCTACAGGTGCGAGCTCCCTGGGAGCACAGCCTCAAAGCGTAGCGGGCATTCTCCTTTATGTGCACCGGATGGTCGAACTTGATCTCCGCCATATCGTTGTGCACCGCCTCCTGGTCGTAGCTCCCTGACACCGACTCCAAGGTCTCCCACTTGTGCTGCGGCTGCAAGTCCGCCGTATTGTCGTACAGCAACTCCAACTGATAGTCGTAGCTCCCGGATCCCGAGTAAACCATGGCGCCAGCTATGGCCACACCAGGTCGATCCACGGCGAAGGCGATGGCGTCGGGTCCAAAGTTTCCCGTGTTCCAGGTGCGGCTCACATCGCAGCGGGCGAACCGAGCTCCGGTCGAATGGAGCGTTCTGGGCGGCATGAACAGTTTGTCGAATTCCCCCATGGCCGTTTGGTACACGATCTCGGCCAGCACTCTGGCCAGCAGATGGCAACAGTTGTCGATTAGTCCCTGATTGACGCACTCCTTGCCACCTCCGGGATAACTGCCACCCAGACTTCCCAGGCTTCGGCTGTAAATAGCCTCGATGCGGGAGCGTATGGGACTGGCAATGATGTCCAGCAGTCGCACCAGCACATCCTTGAATGTCCACGAGTTGCTCAGGAAGTCGCTCTTCTCCTGCTGCGTCCGGTATATCATTTGCTCCACCAGCACGGGATACGGATGGGCGTCCGTGGAGGAGAGCATGGGCAGGCCGGAGTTGTCGCTGGGACTGATGATCGACTGGCGTTCGTTCCCGGCCGCACTGAGCAGCGAGAAGGTGGCCCTGAGCTTCACCGATGGCGAGCACAAGCCCGCCAGGATCGCACTGAGCAGGCGGGAGTGCAGTGCTCCACGATCCATCTGGGCGAGCAGGTCGCACAGGCAGTTCCACTTCAACGAGGAGGTCGGATAGAAGGCATCGAAGCAGGCCACAAAGCTCAGGTGACACTCGTCCAGGATCTCCAGCGAGAGTTCGTAGCCTGCCAGAGAAACAATCGATCATAAGTGAATGGTTCAAGGACCATCAGGAATAAAGACTCAACCCTCACCCTCATCCGTGGCTATGTCCTTGAAGATGTCGTCACAAAAGATGCCAATGAGCAGGGCCCGCACATTGCCAATGCACTCGGCCAGCTGGATGTTCTCCATGTTGGTCTTTCGGGTCACTGGAGTTCCGCTTCCGGTTGCCGCCGCCGCCGAAGCCGAAGATGTGGATGGTACGCCTCCGCTGCCGCCACTGCTGATCATTGCCGGGGCCACCGATGGCGATGGGTCACCAAAGTACTTGGCCATCACGGCTGCATTGCCCACAACGCGGGGGGCATTCTTATCTGTTGGGTGAAGTTTTGAGGATTGCATTAGTATAAAACAGCTAAACTTTTCAAAATAAACAACCGGGTTTTGGGTGGCGCCCTCTGACGAACTGCTGGGTCAAGAACTCCGTTGTTCAAAAATGCTGTGACGTCATAATTAAAACTTTCCTAATAACTTTTAAAGTAATGGTTCGATTTTAAAATGTTTTGGTGAGTCGCTAGATATTAAACAAATGAATAAATACAGCTCATTAACTGACCTCTGCCATGGCTCAGAGTGACATGACTGACTTTTGCGATTTGTGGGCGTTAGGATGGGCGTGGCCAAATTTATAAATAAACTTAAGTATAATTGAATAATATTGGAAAAAACTCACCTTTATTTGTCTTGGCCTGGATCTTGGAGAGGGTGGAGGAGGCCACCAAGCCACTGCCATGGGCTGCATTGGAGCCTGCATTCGCCACCAGCGATGTGGAGGAGCTCCGCTGGGGGTAAATCTCATTGGTGTACTTGCGCAGCAGGCGCAGACATGACTTGATCACATAGCCGAGGTACTGCAGCGACTGCTGCAGCTGCAGTGGCCTGGAGCGATCTCGTTCCTCGCGCAGCTGCAGCTTGAAGCAGTCCCAGGACCAGCTGAGCAGCACCACCAGACTCTCGAAGCACTCCCGACTCACGCTGTTGGCAAAGGCCCGCGAAATTCGCTGCACCGGATCGGCGTCCATCTGCGCCGGCGTCTGCTTGCAATCCTGGGTGACCAGGCGGTACAGGATGGCCGGTATCTGGCCAGAATTGACGTCGGTGCCGTTATTGGCCTTCTTGCTGGACTTGAACGAGAAGACCACCTGATCCTCGGTCGTCACGGAGGCCTGGCCGCAGGATCCGCAATCGGAGGAGGGACCTGCGATGCGGGCCCACACCAGGTACCATCTACCAGCCACCGCACTAACCGGTTTGGGCAGTAGGATATGGTGCTTGCTCCTGGCGCCACACTCGTACGGCACCTCCTTGGTCTCGCTGATCAGGATGCCCTCCTTCTCGTAGCCTCCCCCGTCGCCGCCCAAATCGAAGAGCTTCAGCTTGCAGCTGTACTCCCCGCGTCCGCCGAACATCCCGAAGCCGCAGATCACAATATCCGTGTCCGCCGAGAAGCGTATGGCCTCCACACTGTGCCCGGAGTACCCCCATCCGCCGCCGAAGTTATCGAAGCGGTTGACCACCTGGAACTCCCCGGCCTGCGTCTCCGCCGACTGTTGCGTTTGCTTGAGCAGCGGCTGCTCGAAGCATCCGGGTATGTTGTCCTGCGCCGAGGTGAGAATGTCCAGGCAGGCCAGTAAATTCAAAGAGGCCTGCGAGCGGGCCACTCGGGAGTCCACTCGATCCGGCAAGGATAGTTCCGGTGAGAGCAATGATCGATAAGTGGTAGAGTTCTGAAAGAAATGAGAAAGTTATTAGAGTCACCAAAATATAATAAAAAAAAAATATAATAAAAAAAAATATAATAAAAAAAAATATATATATATAAGAAAAAGATTAATAAACTCTAAAATTTAAACTAAATTTGAAATATTTAACAGAAAATAAAATTAAGGAAAACGATATATCCAGAGAATAATTTTAGGTTTCAGATTTTAATTAAAATCAGCTTCCTATTTAATATTGTTTTTTTTTTAATGTTCAGTAAGATGTGATATTATGAGTTAAACTATAAGTAAACAAACTTCACATGCCAGGAAACAGTGAAGCAAATAAATAAATAAATAAATAAAGTGGTTCTAAACTAGTAACCCACCGCATCGCTCTCGTTGATGTCACTGGCCACCACATTGTGGCAGCGCAACTTCCGAGCAGCTCCATCGAAAACCCACAGGACATTGTAGGTGGGATCCATGGTGAAGGCCAGTTGTGGAGGCGATGGAATGGCCTCCGGGGAACTGGCTCCCTGCTTGCCAACGCGACGTGGTCGTGGCCCAGATCCCGCTGATCCCGGTGTGCCAGGAGGTGCTGAGACTGTGGCCGCAGTGGAAGATCCCACCGGATCCGGTGGCTGCTCCTCGAAGATCTGGTTGCGTGCCTCATGCATGCTCCGCGACATCTGCTCATTGATGGGCACCCCAGCCGTGGCGGTGCCCGTCAAGGCGGTCAGAAGCGAGGAGGTGGAGGAGGTGGCATGTGCCGGTGAATCCGCCACCGGGGTCACAGCCACATCCACATTGGAGTTTATCTCCGGCTGCAGTTGCTCCGGCTGTGCCTGCATTAGTTGCACGAAATTGGTTTGTCCGCGGTAATGTGCCGTGCAACTTCCATCCCGGCGATTTATGGAGAGCGTGTGAAAGGACAACGGAATGCTGGGAATGAGCACTGTTTTGGGCAAAGGATTAGCATTGGAACAGACTAGACTCCCCAAAACCACTTACATATCGTCTTCTTGTTGGCCACCACATGCATTTTGGGCAGCATTTGCGCTGTGATCAGGGATTCGTCTATCTTGATGAAGGTCTGATCTCCGTTGGCGCCAATCCAGGTCACCTTTTTGCCATAGCAGGGACCCAGGCCACTAGATGATGGAAATGCACAACGATTAGTGATGACTATATGCTACTATTTCAGCAGAATGTGCCCTTACAATACAGCTCCGGGTGAGCAGTTCCAGAGGAACTTTTGCCGTTGCGTGAGCACTGGCATTAGCGGCGGCATCTCCTTGGAGCCACTGGGCTGGGCGACGGTGGCCGGGGACTGGGATCGCTCCGGTCCGGGCATTCCCAGCGGTGCCACTGTCGGCGATCCTCCCGATCCTCCTGCGCCATCGGATCCCATGCCCACCGGCGAGTCATCCTCCTGGGATTGTGGCTTCGGACCATAATCACTGGGCAGCCGGCCCAGTTGTCCCTTCTGGTAGTTGCCGAATGTGTAGACCATTCCCTTGGACGTCAGCAGCACAGTGTGGTTGCTCCCGGCGGCTACTTGACTGATGGCTCCGGACACCTGGACACGAACTGGTCCGCTCACCGGCTGCAGATCTCCGCTGCCCAACTGTCCGTACTGATTGCTCCCGAACGTGTAGACCTCACCGGCTAGAGTCAGCACCACCGTGTGGTGCAAGCCACAGGCCACCTGCACCACCGGCGACGAGCTGGTCAGCTGCAGCAGCTGCGGTGCCAGCGGAGCCACTCGCGGTGGGTCCTTGTCCAGGTCAGTGGGCGTGGCAGCTCCCCCGCCGGCGGCTCCCGTCTCCAGTTCGCCCTTGCGCTCCTTGCGACGCATGATGAGGGTTTTGGAGCGCTGCTGGCGCTGTTGCACATCACTTGGCGGCGGCTTTAGCTCCGTTTTGGCTTCTAAAAAAATATAAAATGGTAGAACAAGTAAATATCCCATAAAATATTTAATTCATTAAATAGAAATAAAATGCCATATTCAGCTATGAAAAAGCAAATCCTTCTTTTCTATACTCTACATGAAACCCAGAAACTAATTCTGATTCGCCTTCAACAAAAAGTAAGATTAGATGGTTTAGAAACAATATACGTATGACATAAATATAGCTGCGGTCTAAATAATATTAGTTTTTTAGCTGTTAAAAAATGGCAAATAAAAATTGTTCAGAAAAAACTTTTAAAAATATTTTTTATATTTTCGGATTGATTAGTGGGAAAAATTAAAATAATCCTCCTTAAAATTATTTATAAATCATTTTAATTGAAAAATACATATTTTATAATATTTATAAAAAAATGTTTGCTAGGTTACCAAAAATCTTAAATCATGTTAAGGGCATCATCAGTGAATTTTTACGAATTAAACGTTTTTCAATTTCCTTGATCTAATTAAAACAATATTATACTTTTTTGTAATCTTATTTTTTTTAATTAAATAAAAATTAACATTTTTTAAAGTATTCGTTATAAATTATGTTTTTAATTTTGTATCTTACCTTTTTTATCAATTAACAAAGCAAAATAAGTTTAAAGATTTCTGAGCACATTACATTGTTTTACTACCATTTTTTTGACCACAACTGTACAATATGTATCCCACTCACCATCGCTATCCTGGAGGGCAATGCAGGCGGCGCACAGTCCGCACTTGGCACAGCCCGCATCTCCGTGTCCACAGGGACATATGCTGCCCGCCAAACGCTGATCCAGTGGGACATTCAGGGCGGAGACACAGCTGATATTGTAGCCAGTGCACTCCCGACAGATGACGCACACCCGGCACTGACCCTGCACCAGGTTGTGGTCATCGTAGTCGCACAGCGTGGAGAAGTCCAGCTTCAGGCGCTTGTCCAGTGGCAGCAGGGATGCAAAACAGGCGGCGGCCGTGGAGGATGAGGCAAATGGGGGCACATCCTTCACCGGCTGCAACTTGTTGAATATCCTGCCGCACTGACCCTTGTTGTTCAGTCCGAACGAGAACAGCTGTCCCTTGGCATTGAGGGCCACACAGTGCGCCTTGCCCAGCGCCACCTTGGTCACATGCTGATCCAACAGCTCACTCACAAAGCCCATGGCATCGCAGTGGGCCGTATCCTTGCCGTACATTATAAGTTTGCCGGTTTTCGTAACAAATGCGGAGGTGCCATTGTTGCAGGCGGCATGCACCACCACATGGCCATCGATCTTGGTCATCTTCTTCGGCTTAACCGCCTTCGGTTGCCTCCGATTCTTGCTGCTATCACCGTCTTCCCCTCGACGAGCTGTTCCCGCAAAGAAGACGGTTCCATCATCGTTGACGAGCAGCGCATGGATGCCATCGTGTCCCACGGCCACATGGACTATACTCGCCGCCTTGGAGATGACCAGTTCGGTGAGTTTCAGAGTCGGCGTCCGACCCACACACTTGAGTCCCAGGGCAGCTGATTTTCCATAATAGTACACCCGGCCATTGCTGGCCCGCACCAGCCCGAATTCCTTGCCGCAGGCTATGCCCATCACATCCACATCCGCATCTCTACATGGAGCCGGTAGCTTCGGCTCAAAGCTATTGTGGGCCGATTGGATGCGCTGAATCTGATACTGGTTGAGCAGCTCATCCTCGAAGGCGGCGTAGCCCAGCGTGCGGAACTTCTTGCGGGCCAACTGGAGGGGCAGCTCGAAGGGCGGCGGGTCAATGTTGTAGCTATTGTGGTACAGGTTTAGCTTCTTCACCACCAGTGTGTCCTATTTAAAATAGTGAACAAAATAATCATTAATAAATGTTTGTGGGATACGTTGGGAAGTTAAAAAGTAATGTTCGACAGTTGAAAATAGTTTAAGAGTTTTGAAGTCATATAAAACGATGCTAAGATGTAATTTTCAATAAAAAAGTTATATTCAACAGTTAAAAATGTTTTAGAAAATAATGCAAGCTGCCAAAATTAAAATTTGTATTCCTTTTGGAGAGGTTTTATATAAACAAAAACATTTAAGCTCTTTATTACGATTGCAAATGTTGAAATGTGTAAACCTGCGGGTGTATAAAATACTAAGTTTTTTAAAAAATTTAAAATCTTAAAACGATTAATCATAAAATTAAAATATTAAAAAAACAACAGAAAAGTCAGGTTTAAATAAAAAGTGATTGATAAGAGCCAAAGCCTTAAGACAGTCATGAGCTACAAGCGATTCTCCAGAGATTAAAATCAGTTATCGCCATAGAAAGAGCTTCGATAAGCAATTACGACTCAAATAAAATCCTTTATCAAATTGAATACTATCACTTACATCGCGGTTGCTGCAAATAGCGTGCAATGAGTCGTCGTCCGTAAAAAGCACGTAGTTGAGTCCCTCGCGCATGTGCAGCATGCTCAGTGGACTCATCGCCTTGATGGCCAGCGTGTCCAGGCCCACCATTTGCAGCTGGTCGCCTGCACTGCGGCGACAGGTGCGCCGGAAGTAGAGCTGCCCACCGCTGTAGCCCAGCCAGGCGCTCCGCTCGTGGCTGAAGTCCTCGTTCTGGGCATAAACATGTCCCTTATAGGATCCCCCAAAGCCAGTGCCGATCTTCAGCAGCGTTCCTCCATAAAGTAGGTACACGAACACTCCATCGCAGGCCATCGCCGGCGAGGTGATGGGTGTACCCGTGCTCGAGGGCGGTAATTTAAGGGGGAACTGAAATCAAAGAATCACATTAGAAGGAATATATACATATATGTATATATACTCAGGCATAAAGTATGATTAGAAACCAAATTCTTTATTATAGTCTGACTCTGTCTTTAATTTTAGGTTCTGAAAAGGGGATTTACAGTTCTTTAAATAAGATTTTCTTGTTATAAGCAAGGTTGACGTATAAAAAGCAAGCGTTATTCGTTGTTCACGGACAGTCATACCCTGTAAATTTAGTAAAACGAGTTCAACACTCCTCTGAGCTAGCCGAACGTAGGCGGTCACTTACGATTGGCGCCCAAAGTGGGACCATTTTGTATCCTAGATGCATTTCAGTTACATTTACATTTGCGATCTTAACCCTTTTTATTTTATTTTAGATTGGTCTTTCTGTACCCCAAGGAGTAACGACTCACCTCATCAATCAAGGAATTGTGCGGCACCCCGTGGCTGTGAAAGTCCGGCCTGGTGGGCTTGTTCAGGGCAGCACTGATCACCGTGTGCTGCAGCGTGGCCAGCACCACCGGCAGCTGGACAATCTGGGCGGAGAGCTGGCGCGGCGTCATCAGCATGGCGGCGATGGCCTTCAGCATCTTGCCGGTGTCACCGCGGGCGATGCACAGTCCCAGGAGGGCGGCACAGGCCATGGCCGACCAGTTGGCCTCCGCACCCGTGGCCGAGTTGAGCGCGGCCGGCATGGTGGCCAGATCGAGGAGGAGATCGTACAGCGGATTGATCAGCTCCTCTGGTTCCAGCTTGAAGCTCTCCGGCTGCTGGCCCTGGATGACGTCGAGCAGGGCCTTAAGCGCCTTGGTGCAGAGCAGCGGATGAACGTGGCGTGCATCGGCGATCAGTTCGAAGAGGCTGCGCAATCCGGCGCCCACAATTAGGGGCACGGTGGCATAGACGGGTTCCCGTTCGGTGGGCTCCTCCGTGTCCGAATCGGCGTCACTATTGGCACTGTCCCGTCGTGGTCGCTTCTCCGCGGGCAGACCTGGTCCGCCAACCACCACGGGCACCGGTGCCGGTACTCTACCCTCGCCTAGCACACCCACCGGTCCGCCAGGGGCTCCATTTCCTGGCCCCAATGCTCCGTGCATGGCCAATTGGGCGTGACAGGAGCAATCGAGAATGTTGCTAATCATGCAGCTGTGGGCGCACATCATGCAGCAGGAGGAGTTCAGGGGGCCGCTCCATTTCTTGGCGCCCGATCCGGACTGGCCACCGCCGCCGGCTCCACCCTCCTGGAACAGAGCGTACCGCGTTTCCGCCTCCAGAACCGTGGATCTAATCGCCGAGAATACCGCAAATTTGGACGCATTCGGATCCAGTTCGATGTGCGCCACCGGGAAGGAGGGCAGGATCAGCAGTTGCTCCTTGACCAGTGGTGGATCTAGTGGATTAACCAGACCACCTGCGCCCGCATTCCCCTCGAGAACCGCCGCAGCAGCTGCCGCGGCCATCGCTGCCGCCGATTTATCTTTCCGACTTTTACGCTTCGTTAACACCTTGCGATCGTGTTGCATTTTTCTGAAAAAAGTTACAAAAGTGGGTTAATAAGAGTAATTTTATGAACAGATTTAAAAAACTTGTAAAGAATTTTTAGAAGTCTAACTAGACTACTTTCTGTATTTATACGCAGTACAACAGGTGCATTTTATCCCAAAAACTAAAGTCGACGTAATAATTAAAAAAAATAATTTCTAACTATTCCAAAAATATATTTGACATACATATTATACGAAAAAGTGTCCCTGTAAGTGTAATTTTAGAACTAAATTTGTTTTCATTATCTTAAAAACTATTTATGTACAATTTTAATAATGCTTAATTGGAGAGTACAATTTGTTTCTAAATTACCAAAATCATTTCTGGTAGTGTTGTATTCTAGTAGGTATACTAAAAAAACATACTTCGCTTCTGAATTTAAAAATAAAACTGCTTTAACAAGAAAATTAATATGAATATATTTAACTAAGGAATAGTAAAAAATATAATAAGTGTTTATGCATTTATTTGCCAGCCTCAATTAAGGATATTAAATAAATATTAAAAAACATCTGTAACTATTTTAAAGTAACACTTGAAACAACGTTTATTAATATTAACCTTTGACCTTTAGTTAATTTATTTACTGTGGATTTGGGAAACTATTGATTAATTTACTATATTTTTAAACATTTAACCATAAAATCAGTAATTATCGTGGTACTTAATGTAAACATCAATGTATTCAAATTAATAAAAGCATATTTTGTATTTTAGAATTTTTAAAATACGCGATACATTTTAGAACATTCATACAATTTACTGATCACTTTTAGTTTATCAGTAATTTCATTTTCGGGTTCACTTAGAGAAAACTTTTGAAACAAACAACTAAGACACTATTCGAGCTATAGGTCACAAATCAAAAACGCAATTCAGCAATTCAGAGGGAATAAGCTTAATTTGTCGACGTCCTGCCGAAGAATTTGCATTTGTTATTGTTGCCCATGGAAGCTTTTTGCTCTTTACTTGCTCCTATCAACTTGGAAGCTTTTTGCAGGATGCTGGGTGCTATTTTGGTCGACAGCTGCACACACATAAATCGACCAGCAAGGTGCAAGCTTTAAGATATATATACCCGATTGCATCCGGAACTTTACCCCCTGCAGTTCACAGGTGGTTTTGAACACTGTTTTGCTGCTGTTTTAAATGCGGCTTCTATGCCGCAAGGCGGCAATTCCTGGTTAAAAAGTTTGTAACATAAACTACTCCCCTTATTGAACAATCCTGCCATGGAAATCGTAATCCCATTCCATTAGCATAGTCGAATCTTTGCAAGATTAAATTATTAAATTTCAAGTGGTAAGCCTCTAAAAAACTATATAAAAATCTAAAATAAAAAAAAGTATCGCATAATTATGTATGCATTGGCATGCGGTATTTTATTTGACCTTGAGAAAGGGGCATATATTGCTCAATTAAAATAATTCAAACGCTTTTAAAAGAGAACTTTTAAAGTTTTCGTGAAGAAACTTTTATAAACATTAAAAACAACACAAAACAAAAACACACAAAAAAAGTTTAAAAATTCAAATAAAATAGGATTAACAAGAAAGGAAGAAAACTTCAGCAAGCCGAAGTTCATATACCCAGCTATTGTAAAAATTAAATATTGATTTACTTGCGTATATGTTTAAAAACATTGAAGCTATGATGATTTGCAGCTCAAATATTCAACAGTTAATAAAATTAAAAGCGTAATTCTAAAATGTCAAATTATTAATGAGTCAAAAAGAATTTTTAAAATTTTTTTTGTTTCCATGGGAGATATATGATATAATCGTCCGATTTTGATGAAATTTAAACCGTAAATTTGAAATATTTAACCATTGCTATATGTCGAAGAACTAAAAAACAAATTAAAAAACAGCAAAGTTATAATTTTTTTTATTTATTTTTCCGATTGTTCCTATGGGAGCTATATGATATAGTCGTCCGATCCGCCTCGTTCTGACTTATGTGCTACCTGCAATAGAAAGACAACTTTTGGGAAAGTTTCATGCAGATAGCTTTAAAAGTGAGAGACTAGTTTGCGTAGAAACGAACGGACAGACGGACATGGCTAGATCGACTCCCCTAGTGATGCCGATCAAGAATATATATACGTTATAGGGTCGGCAATGTCTCCTTCACTGCGTTGTAAACTTCTGACTAAAATTATAATACCCTCTGCAAGGGTATAAAAATGCTAGAGATTGGCTTGTTAACTTCACTGAATAAAATATGGGTTATGTATGAGTTAATGATTTCCAATTTTTCCATTTCATAGTTTTTACATTCCGAAACTGTTTTAAGTTTATCCGATGAAATCTTTTTGAATTATAGAAAAAACCTAAGAAGCCATTATTTTCTTTAAATCCGACTTTCTCATGTTATTTTTGAAAAAATATGCAAAATTGCTCCTTAATCGTATCTTATTAGAATTTTGTTTTCAGATTAAGTATTGAATAGTACTTATCAAATTTTAAAAATCATGGCTTCTTTTAGTTTATAAAATTTGGATTTGCCTTTTAAAAAGTAGTTTTTTTTTGGGAAAATTTAACCATCAATAATTTTGGGCTTAGGAAACTTTTTGGAAGGTAATATTAGGAAGGAAGTTGAATGGGTGTGAGGTAAGGTTTAATGTTTAAACTTTGGAGGAAACTTAAAGTAGGTTTTAATATGTTTCCTGTCTGGGCTTGAAAGGTAATAATATTAACGAAGCTTAGGACTTGGATTTGAATTTATACCACATATATTTTGTCTTTTGTCTGTGATCTTGACAAGATACACTTTTACTTTTTGCACAAAAATATACACATGTTTCAATCGTTCGGTATGGTTTCCCTCGGAACGGGTCTTTTTGGCGGTACAACAGGGGTTGGCATTTTTAACACCGCACCACCCCCGTGGAGCATCAGTGGGTTAATGCAGGTCGCGATGCTCTCGCCAATCAGCTGATTGCGAGCACCGCTCAGCTGTTCGGCGCAGGACTGTCCACTTCCGCCCGTTTCAACCCCCAAAAATCGGGGGGTGCTGCGACTTTGGGAGAGCGAACGCCCAGGGGTTGAAGACCCAGATTGGATTGCCGAGTGCAGCGATCGATTTTTCCACCCCGGATGGATGGATGGATAGGGTACCCGTCCGGTAGAGGGACATATAGTTATCCAGATGCTGGCGGGGATTACCTGCGCGTGCTGTTTGTGTACAGCTCGTAGAAATGGTCGCCATACTTCAGCGGATTAAGCAGGCCCACCATTTTGGACCGATTTCCCGTTAGATCCAGTGCTCCAATCGATTTTTTCTATATATTCTAATGCGCTACACTCCGTCGTCTGCTCTCTCTCTTTATCTCTCTTTTTGGCTAATGATTTTTTTATTGCACAGCGGTTATTGCGAACAGAACAAAATATATATGAATTAACAACTATGAATTAACTATTTTGACGAGCATCGTCTGGCGTTTTCAGCGCGTTTTTTTCCCATTTGCCATTTGCCTTTTGTCACTTGCACGCAAAAAAACACACCGAACGACGACGCAACGGTACAATGGGAACTGAATGAGAGAACTGAAAGTTTCGGGCCATCCTCTCGCTCTCTCCCCGCTCTTTCCTTCCCCTGTTGTTGTTCTTGTTTTCTGCTTCTTACCGCTTCCTGCGGAGAGAACGGCTCAGCTGTCTCCGGCCGGAAACAGTGTTACAAAACGAGTGAGATGAAGGTCCTGTTTTGGGGTTAGAATCCCAAATAATTCAGAGATTTTCAAAAAGTAACGCCTATTTCACTAAAATTTCTCTTAAAATTTTATAAAATTTTATATTTCTACAACTCATTTGGTGTTCATTTTTCGAACACCATTCTTTTAGAATTCAACGACATTAAATTGAACATTGAAATTATTCTCACAGAAGTGCAAACAAAAAAGAACAATTTTACCAACATTTACAATTTTAAGAAATATTGTATAGAATACACAAAAATAAAAACTTTATAAATTTCTTCAAATAAAACGATGCATTGGTTCATTTAACTTGATTATGTTGATCAAAACGGGGTTAAATTATAATTAAGGTATAAACAAAGCTTTAGGAGCTTTTAAAACTATTGCTCAATAAGTTTTACAACATTTTGCTTGCATGCAGTTTATTGGTTCCGATATATTTATTTCAAAGTTTCGTCAAATCTTTTTGCCTTTTCTTAAAAAGTTTCGTTAAAAAGAGTTATCACTTTTCAAAATAATACCTGATTACTAACACTTACCAGCTGTTTTTCTAGTGCTGCAAAACACCCGCACCCCGCGAGCTGGCAACCCTGGCGAGCAGCTGTCACTTGCAACAAAAACAACAGGGACACGAAGAAGAAGACTTTGACAGCTGGGCCGCAACCGAAATCGAAGAAAAACATTTTACGTAATTTAACTGTGCGAATATCGGGCATTTGGCAGGCGACTAAACCATTTTTTCCACGCCAGCAGGATGGGCAACGCGCTGACACACTACCTGAAGCCGGACGTAATGCCGGGACCGGATGTTGTGACCACCTTTGACCCAATGCTGGGCTTCGAGTCGCGCAAGGAGCGTGTGATGATCGCCACCCGGGAGGAGATGGAGTCCGCCAAGCTGCCGCTGGACGCCCGCGACTATTGCGCCCACCTGGCCATCGCCTACCAGGCCTGCCGCACGGACACCTTCCCCTTTGTGTACAAGTGCGCCCATCAGAAGCACGAGTACCTCACCTGCGAGTACGAGGACTACGTGCTGCGCATGAAGGAGTTCGAGCGGGAGCGCCGGCTGCTGGAGCGCCAAAAGCGCCTCAACCAGGCCGCCTAGGCTAAGCTACACACAACACACACCCCCCCGCTCTACACCTGTGTCTGCTGTGGCGGGCAGGAGGCGCCCCTGGCCGCGGATCCACTGCCACTGCCCCATGTTGCAAGCTAGTTTCCAGCGGAAATGTCAATAAACAACTCCATGCTAGTAATAATGCGCATCTGCTGACCATTTTTTTTTTTATTAGCCATTAAACGATTGAAAAACTTCCAAAAACCGTCGAGTGTCAAATGGATCTTGGTGCGGACATCGATTTGAAAAGGATCTTGGTGTAAAAAATGCTAAGTCATTGGAGGAAGGATATTCCATCTTCTGGGATCTAGTTTCCAGCGGAAATGTCAATAAACAACTCCATGCAAGTAATAATGCGGATTTGTGCCCATTTTTTTATTAGCCATTAAACGATTAAAAAGCTGTTTGAATAACCGTCGAGAGTCAAGTGGATTTTGGTAAGGACATCCATTTTAAATGGATTTGGGCGTGAGCAACACTTAGAAGTCATAGAAGGAAGGTTATTAAGAGGATCTAGTTTACAGAGCTCGCATTTAAAAACTATTGAACACGGTTCGATCTTGGTGGCCACATCGATATTAATTGAAAGAGATAAGCATGAATCAAATTTATTTTGAAATTTCACGTTGAACACATAATTTCAAAAACTTTAAAACTTTATAGCGTTTAAAAAAAGAACGATTTTTACCCTTTTACAAATTACCATTAAACGTTCAGTGTAGTTCTTTAATGTATTTTTTGTGTTCACCTTCAACAGTAATTGAAATATAATGGCAAAATGTCGGTCAGCTAGTATTCTTTATCTAAGCACTTAGCAATCTTGAAAAATTGTTACAACGTGAAATAGCATGCCCCAGAATTTCGTTTTATGAAATTTTCTATTTCATTTTAAGTGGGGTAGTTAAAGAATTTTAATGGGGAAATAGAAAAAAGTTAGTTTCCGATTACTTGTTTGGCAATTGCTTTAAGCTGAAACCTAAAAAAACTCCGGGTATATAGTCAAAAGCCTCTTTTACACTGGTTCCTGCAACTTTTAATTTATTATCAAACTCATCTTTTGGCTTAATCGTAAAATTGCTTTCGTTTAACAATGCCTACACACGCGCGCACACACAACACACCACGCATATCACAAGCACACACCCGCATATATATAAATATACGGCTACATAATACATGATATATATATATAAATACAGAAACTAACGAACTACAGATGATGGCAAGTTGTTGTTTTTTTAAATTCTAACTAGGGGATCCATCTGCCGGATGGCAATTATATGAGGGACATCAACTCTATGATCAGTAAATGCATCCTGTTGGCTCCGGCACGCACATCTTTGGTAGAGGCTTCGGCTTCGGCTTTTCCCGGCCACCGGTTGACCCATCAAATGCCCAATTTGCGCCACAGATTGTGCATCCGTCCGCCGGTGGCGAAGATGCTGCGCAGCATGAAGACCTGGATGATACCGACACCGATCATGGCGCTGATCTGGAGCATGGACCAGTGGTTAACCTTCTGGAAGTTCGACTCGGCGAGATTGCGATCGCGTGCCTCGTGTGATCGCAAGACATCCTGCAGCTGGCGGGCCTTGTTCAGCTGGAGACGGATGCGTCCGATAAAGTCCATGATGTCCTGCACCTTCATGTCGTAGTACTCGTCGCGGGAGAGCCCCGCCAGCTCGTCCACCTCGTTCCACTGGGTGTCACCGCGGAGCTCCTCGCCCTCCCGCTCCACGATGAGCTCGAAGAAGACCGTCTTCCGGTTGAACATGCTGAAACTGTTGTCGAAACAGAAGCGATAGTCGCCCTCCTTGGCCACCTCATGGCGATGGATGTTCTCCGGCTTCTTGAAGTCGCTAACTATGACCAGACCGATGGGATCCAGCAGGGTGAAGCTGATGTCCAGGTCGCCGTGTCCGCCATCTATCACCTGGTACTCGAAGTCAATGGACTCTCCCAGTTTCACAGTGTGATACAGGCACTCCGTTTTGCCGGCGTCCACATAGACGGTCATCTCCTTATCATACGCCTGCGAGTCCTGGACTCCAAGGAGCACCAGTCCGGCCACCAGGAGGAGGAGGAGCTGCGCCGGCATTCCCCGCCACATCTGAGCAAGTCACGCAAAAGTTAATGAGTAATAGGTGTGCTAAATATAGCCGACGTTTATCTTACCGCCTGCATTGTTGTGAGCTGCTTTGCTTAAAATTAAAAAAAAAACAAAATGCTAACTCGGTGTGCACGTTTGCCGCTCAAAATACTGAATGTAAATGGCTGGTCACACTTCTCAGGATTTTCTTAGCCTTTTTATATCCAAATTCCGCCAAAAATTCTGGCGATTACATCTTTAATAACTGAACAATATTGAGGGCATTCCCTAAGTCAATAAGTGTTTGAAAAATTAAATCATGATCATATTGAATATGATTTTTGCCGAAAACTGTAAATAAATAAAATTTGTATGCTGTGAAATCAATTGCAAATTATATAGAATGACATTTACATTTTCGGTCAATATTTCACAGGTATTTAATACAAGAACCAAATATGTGCCATTTAAATTTTAAGAAATTTGACGAAGTTTAAAGTTTTAATAAAACAAGAACCACAAAGCTTCCTTTTTTATTTTCGTTTTTAGTTTTATGATAATAAGAGGAACATCTAAGGAGTTTTTGTTTTGTTACTAGTTTTAGGCATTCTGTTTTGAGCATGGTTTTTCTAAAACAAAATAATGTAAGCTTAAAAGCCCCTTTTTTTGGGTTTTGTTATTGAAAATTACGTTTTCTCTTATTTTGTTCTAACTTAACCAAAATAAGTGAATTCCGCTAATTTTAGCTATATCCCATAGCTAACTCACCAACATCAAAAGCAGGAGTTGGCCACACTGCTAAGTTAAATGTAACGGATTAATGTAATGGGCGGTATATTTAAATAGGAAAATCAACAGTGTTCTGGAAATTAGCTTTATTCATAAATTTCTTTGTTTAAAGACTAAGCCAGCTTTCATATCATTGAATCATACAAATATTCTAAAGTTTCAATATTTTTTTGTAATAGGTACAAACTAATTTTTATAAATAAACATGTATAGATGTATGTATTTCAAATGTCATAAAAATTCTATGAGTTTAGTTTATAGCGAACTACTATATTAATCTATCGATCTTTCTAATGGATAAGCTTTAAAGATAAATCTATTATCATTTTGAAATCAACGCACTTAAAAACAATTTGAAAAACCTAAACGGTATTTTATTGAACAGAACACTATTTTCTAACCATGGCAGGGTCACACCGTCCAGGCCAAGAATAAGCTCGAAAGAAAACTTGGAAAAATAAAAAAAAAGTCAACAAAAAAAAAAGGAAACACCAGGCGGAAAAGAGATAGCTAGACGGGATTGCATGTTATTTTTCCGCGGTGATCACGTGAAAAAAGCCGTGCCACGAAGAGGTTATCCCACCTAGAAATGAAGATCCGAACCAGGAGGAGCCTTTCTTTTGCCGGCTGTGGATTCCTTGGCATCTACCACGTGGGCGTGGCCGTCTGCCTGCGCCAAAACGCCCCCCAACTGCTGCTGGAGCGGATTGGGGGCGCATCCGCCGGAGCCTTGGCCGCCTGTTGTCTGATCTGCGATCTGCCGCTGGAATGCATGGCCGGTGACTTTTTGCGGGTCGTCCAGGAGACGCGGCGCCACTCGCTGGGCGCCTTCAGTCCGTGGTTCAATCTGCCGGAGTGTCTGCTCGAGGGGATGCACCGCCGTCTGCCGGAGGACGCACATCGACGGGCCAGCGGACGACTCCACATCTCACTCACCCGCGTCAGCGATCGCCGCAATGTGGTCATGTCGGAGTTCAGCTCCCGCCAGGAGCTCCTCCAGGCCCTCATGTGCTCCTGCTTCATTCCCGGACTATCCGGACTGGTGCCGCCACAGGTGAGTGTTTTTTATTTTTTTTATTCAAAAAATCCTACATTTTTTTTATTTTAAACCTACTCAGAAAGTAACTAAGATAGATCATTTTCATAAAATATAAAATAATATTAAATTCTGATATACTTAAAAAAATTTGCATAGTTTTCAATTTGCAAGCCAGTTATGTGCTTTTCGATATATTTCCACCCAGATAATAACTTAGATTTACATCTCATTAAAATAATATTATTATTTTGTTTGAATATACTTAAAATTTTTTTTATAAATTTGGGAAACAGTTATGTGTTTTTCTTTATTTTTTCCAAAAAAAAAAATGAATTTCTCTTCTTAAGCCCACCCAGATAATAACTAAGATAAATTTATGGTTTAATGCATATTACTATTTAGTTTGAATTAACTTAAAAATGTTGTATTGTTGGAACCTACCAAGAAAATAACTAAGCTAATTTTCCATCTTAGAGGATATATATTTCTCTAAGTATCTATTTCTAAAAAAGTTTTCTGTGTTTCCAATCGCCAAAAAGATGTGTATTCCTTTTACATACGTTTTCAATGAACAGGAATGTGTTTCCAAAAACCATAGAATTTCTCCATTTTAAGACTCCATTAAACTAAACTAAGCTTTTTCCCATCTAATGAGATATATATTACTGTTAAGTTTAAATATACTTTACAAGTTTTCACATTTTCAATTATGCATAAAAGTTATGTGTTTTTCTTTATTATTCCAAATACTTTAAAATTTTACGATTTTAAACCTACCTTGAAAGATACTAAGATAATTTTTCATCTTTTAAGATACATATTACCATTAAGTTGGCAATTTGCAAAACAGTAATTCTTAAGTAATTTTTTATGTTAAAAAAAAATTATCTAAATAAGTAAATTAGAGTAATTTTTCATCTATTAGATACATAAATATTATTATAATATTATTACTATTTTATCATAAAAATCACTTCTTGTCTTTATTTTCAAGTGTTATTAAATTGTCTATTAAATTAATTTAAGTGTAATATGTAATAAGTTTAAGTACACCTCATAAAATATAATTACCTTAAATTTAATTTTTTTTGAAATCGTTTTTAAAAATAAGTACATATATTGTTAGGTCAGAGGAGTTCGCTACATGGATGGCGCCTTTTCCGATAATCTGCCCTGGCTGGACGAGCACACTGTGACCGTGAGTCCCTTTTGCGGGGAGAGTGATATATGCCCGCGGGATCAGAACCCCCATCTGCTGCAGTTGAATATCAATTGGGCGAACACTTGCATCCGGTTATCCAGGAGAAATTTGCGTCGTATTGTGAGGATTTTGTTGCCGGGAAGGGCGGATTTCATGGCCAATTTCTGCCAGCAGGGCTACGATGACGCGATGCATTTTCTGCGCAGAAATAGCCTGTTCAAACATGGATTTCAAGTCCAGGAAAAGAGCATGATAAGTTGGATTCATGAGCAGGAGGAGAAGGAGAAAGAGATCTGGGAGAACAAAAGGAATTTGGAGGCAGAGCAGCGACTTCTAAAGCTGAAAGCTATTAAAGAAAATGATCAAAAGCTTCAAGATCAGCAGGATAAGAAGCTAGATGATGAGATAAACCAAGTGGAGCAACTTAGAAGGAATCGAAAGCCAAAGCGTCAAAGGCAAAATCATCAGAAGTCTAAGAAAAATCAAAAGGATAAGACAAAGTATGAAAAATATCCCAAAAAGGAGGCCAGGAATCTGGATAATAGCAGCACAAAAAAGAATCATGACCACCTCGAAGGGGCGCAGGACAATCATCTGGAGAGGAGAGGAAATCCGTTGCCTCAGGAGGAGCCCAGCCAACGGGACCACTATACCAGTTCGCTCATGAGCTCCACCTGGTCCCTCCTCCGCCGCGTGATGATAGCTCCGCCGCTGGCCAGGCACATGGTACAAATGATCGCTCGTCGCCTCAGCCGGAGTCTCACGCTGTGCGAGCAGCCGCACTTTGATCTCGCTCTGATGCAAGCACCCTGCTCCTCCTCCTACTCCACTTTTTCCTCGTCGAGCACCTGCTGCCCCTCATCGACGCCACTGGGTGATAGCGATAACGAAAAAGTCAAGGCCAAACGAATGTGCGAGGCCAGCCAAGTGGAAACGGGAGATCAGGTGGCCGAAGAAGAGGGGCAGACCGGCGTTCATTAGGCGCCATTAGCTTTATCAGCGATCGTCAATCGATCAGTTCCCAATTTATTTTTATGTCTGTTCTCGCAATCATTTCAATTTAATGGGCCAACGATTCCGTGTTTTCTTTTCTTAAATATCATGTTTTTAAGTGTTTTTACCTTGTGTGTTAATAATAACTGATGTGACGTAAATAAAGATATGCAAATAACAAACAAATCGGATTTTCAATTATTTTAATGCATAAGAAATGAATATGACCAAATTATTTTTGTAAGATGGTTCTAAGGCTAAAAAACACCACTTCTAAAATGACTTTCATAGAATGGCTTAAGATAACTCGCTTAAATACCTATAAGACATGTAGAAAATATTTATTATGCATTTCAAAGAAAGTTATTATTTATAAATTATTTTACTATGATTACTTTTTTGCACAATATTAGATTTTTTAATTGTACATAACATTTCATTTTAATTCACTTACTGAAAATACTTGAATGAATAAGAATTGAATTGAATTAAAGAATTTTTATCTTTAAATTATACCCTTTCGCTACTTAAGTTACTATACCGATTGGGAATTTTAAGTCCGTTGTAGAATAATGAATAATCTTCACTAGGGTTTTAATTAACAAAACAAGTTAACAAAACCTGGATTATGTCGGTGCCCTTATTTTAGCTACCCGCTGTGTAGAACCCGATTCTTCTATCCGAATAAACTGATATAACCTCCAGATGCGATTCTCTGACGCAGGTTCCAGTCGGCAAAGTGCAACGCAAGAGAGAAAGATGATGCACAACGAGATCAGAGAAGTGGTCATAATTTACACACATAATACCCATCTACCGCACAATATGCCATACTCAATAATCAAAAGCGAGAGAATGAATAATAATAAGAATCACGCCACTTTCTGCACTTTGCACTTCGGCCATCCTACTCGCACTTGTGCTGATTGAAGGATGCCACGCCTCTTCCGCCGGGGGCGGGGGCTCATCCTGAGGCTTTATCGCCCTTTCTCTCTTTCTCTCTTCCCTCTCTGTGGACTCTCTTTTTTGTGTTTCTATAAAGTCATTCAATTTTTTTTTATAATACTGTTGATTACGTTTATAGTTAGAACGAACGCCTTTATGGATCTCCCACCCCACTCGTTCTCGTTCCCTCTTTCTCCGCGATAAGAACAAGTCGTTGCCAACCGAAGATCCAGACCTCGTCATCGTTGCTTCGGGAAGAATCTGGAGGGGATCGAGAAGCACAAGGTCCAAAGTCCGGGTCCATTAACATCTTTACACTCAGGCCTCCGGGTGGGTACACCTTGCGGTTGGCATTTCCATTACATTAAGCTACCCAATAACGATCATTACCTCCATGATCATTGAATGGTTTGAAAAAAAAAACGATCAGGGTATTGCACTTACACAGAGAATAAAAGGATTGTTGTTCCCCAACAATCGGATTTCCTTATCAAATGAGAACTTTACAATACCCGTATTCTATAATATCAATGCGGCTCTTTAATTAAAAAGCCCCTGTAAGTTGGACTAGTTTCAGAGACTTTGAGATTCATTATCAAAAACTGTTCTTCAGTTGAAAAGGCTCTATAAGTCGGACAAGTTTTATGGACAATGGTATAATAAATTAAATTAATCTTGGTTATTACCAAGTGGAACTTTTTTTAAGTCAAACTACGTTTTTAGTTATGGTACTAATAACTTTGGAGAATCTTTCATTAATTAAGCACTTTGATTTTTTAAATATAATATAACAGGGTTTATTAATATTTCTTTAATGAAGAGGTATTAAACTGAAGTTAAAGATCGTTGATCTCTTTAGTTCCAATAATACAAGTTCCAATGTGTTTATTTTAAAATTTTAAGTAACTTTTAAGCTTCTTAGTAAAATTCTATACAAAATTATTTAATTTTTATTAATGGCTACGTTTTTTTTTTTTTGTGCATAATATATATTCACCGTCTGCGGTTTTGGGAACCCGTCCAACAAGTCATGCGTTCCATGGGTTCCACAAGAAATACCAAGACCCCAGCGAAGCCCTTTTCTGGCAAACCAAACTCATGAATATTTCGGCCCCAAATGCATTTAGCAAAACTCAAAATTATGCCAAGTATGCTGGTATATAAGATTGATTCCCCAGGCGGACAAACTGGAACTTTGTCGAGACGAGGGACAGACTTTGACTGTGGCATGTTCCTCTCTTGTCGGGCTCGCAAATTAAAGCGATCGTCCAGACACTGAGCATACAAATGAGGTGGAGATTTGGAGGAAGTGGAGTGCCGGAGCCAGCTGAAATGAAAAGGAAATTCAGAGAGGCCGACGCCGATATTCTTTGCCCAATCTGAAGACGAATAATTGCACGGCCATTAACGCCGTCATTATCGACAGGGACAGAGTCACAAGTCCACTGGGACTTGTACTGACAGTACAGTGCGGTTCATGACTATGGGATCCCAAATGAATATAACACTTCGCCTTATTAGGTGTTAATTATTGTACAATATCTTTGACTATTTAATGGTTTTTAATACTTTTCTTGTTTGACTTAGTTAACCAACTATGAACAAATTTGTTAGTTATAAATTGTAATGATTAAACAAAAAAAAAAATATATATATAAAATAAAACTTGAGTATTTTATAAAACCCAAAGATTGTTAGGTTATGGTAAAAAAAATAGGAAACCCCACTTATGCGATTTCCGATTTAAATTTCAGCGCTGTTAGTTACTAACTTTTTTAATTGAAATTTAATTTTTTTTTAGCAAGCCATTTAAGATTTTAATGAAAAACGTAAAACACATATTATTAGCTTAATAGTTAATTACATTTGGTTAAAAAGCTGCGAGCTATTAAGCAACCGTCTTTAAAGTTTAAAGCATTACTAAAAAGAAAGACGAATTTCTATATTTAACAAGCCTGACTACCCCAGAAATAATAAATAGTACGATAGAAATCAAATAAGTTGTATTTTCAAGTAGAAAATCCGCGAATTCCGACCAGCTTTTGATAGCTGCAAAACGCACTTTAATATCACATGTTCGTAAACACATATGGAGGGTCTTATCTTGACAGCGAGTGCTCTATAAATTCATTCGCTGCAGCGCTCCGGCAATTACGAGGACTGAACTCTACACTGAACTCTATATAAATCAGCGGACCGGGGAGTGCTGTCTCGATAAGACGCCTAATCAGACAGAGGGTATAGAACCTATAACGTTCCGTTCCTCTGCTTATCGTTCACGTTCTTCGAGTGGCAAAAATAATTGAAAAAAAATCGTAAGCAACTTTTCTTGTTCTTCGTTCCAGTTTTGCGTTGGTTCTTTTTATTAATATTTAATATTATCAATCTAGTTGTTTAAAGCAAACATTATGGCTAGGTTCTCCATACAAGTGTGTGTTTGTGTGTGTGAGGGTGTGTATTGTGTGTTGTATATATATGATAGGCATAATTCATTTTCATTAGCAATTAGACATCATCTGGTTTGGGCTCCCAGCGAGTGTACAATGGAAATTAAATAGAGATAGAAATAGCATTAGGTATTAGATTACGTATACGTATAGCTAAACCACACTATGCCAACGTGTGCGTAGTACGTTTCTTTATGTATATATATATATTATATATCGTGTGTATATATTAGGCATATATAGGCGTATATATTATGTATTATTCAATGCATGCGTGGCACTTTAGCACAGCTAAATTTGACGAAAAAAAAACACGCTCTTACACTCCCGATCTCTGCGACTACTATATCTTACAACTATCATGGTGAGGGCTATACTTCAAATAAATATTTACAAAGCAGGGTGCGCAGGGGGAGGCGGGTTTTGGATTTCGGGTGCGTGTTTAAAAAACCTTTTCCACTTTTGGATGATCCTCTATGGGAAGTACTACCTCTTGTATAGGCGATAAAGTACTCAATGAAAAAAAATTACGCAAAAAAAAAAACGAAATAATAAAATACAATATAGAATGGGCGGCGTGGGTGGGTTTCTTGTGTGTGCGTGTGCGAAAGAGGATAATGTCTAGCTACAGATATAGTTTTATATGGGCTTCTGATTTTCCACTACTGAGACGACACCGTCGCCGCCGCCGCTTTGCTTTTAGCGACTTGGGGCTTGGCCACAACCGCCGCGTTGTTGCTGGAGGAGCTGGTGGTGGTGGTGTTGCTGCTGGAAGTGGTGGCTCCAAATGGCGAACAGGTGTCGCTGCTGCTCGACTGCTCCACATTTGTGCCCATCGATGAGTTGATAAAATTGATGTACTGGTGCAACTTGAGGGCGGCTATCAGGGAGCTCAGATAGTCGTTGATGTTGCCCTTCTGGACCTGCTTGATCTGTCGGGAGACATTTCGATAGACGCGACGCGAGATCTTGTTGGATAGCCGTCCAACCGTCTGAACTGTGTGGAGGACTGGATCCTCGCTGGCGGGAACTGGCACTATAAAAGCAAAAAAACGATCATCATTAGCATAATAGTAGCCAGAAGTATTTAGTATTATGGTTATAAACAAGTTAAAGTTAGTACAGGAGTGGCTGTGCGGCTTGTGTGTGCTTACCATAAACTTGTTGAGTTCCCTATCGATAATGCCTATGATCTCTGGATTTCTTCTAACGTACTCAACAATTTCGGTTATGATTTTCAAAGACATGGACAGAAATACCGTCGAGGCGGCCACTAAGAATCTATCATCAATCTCTTGATCGTGATCCTGGTCGTAGCTCTCCCCAACAACAATAACTAACAAATGGGACAGAGAAAGAGAGATAGAGAGAGATTAATTTAGAAAATTAGTGACAATTTTTTGTTTCGAAAGGGCGGTTAATGAGAGTTAGGGGACTGGGGACGGGACCAAGACCAGGATCAGGATTTGGGTTGTGGGTTCAAGGGTTCGCAGGCTACTTCAACATTTATCCCTCAACTAAAATCGAAAATATTTCTGTATATTATAGCCCCGTTTTGTTCTGTTTTTGTGTGTGAAATTATCGCCATGCTTGATTAGTGTTCATGCTTTTTTATTTACTTGCTATTTTTATGCTTATTAGACGGTGTGTTAGTGGTGGACAAACAAATAAACGATCGAACGAACAAAAGATCGGATCAGGGATCGGGAACTTACTGTCATTTTCAGAACTCTTGCCATTCTGCACGACGGCATTTTGTTTATCATCTGAGAATTAAAAATATTTACGATTTATATTTAGCATTTTGTTTACACACTGCTCAAAAAAGAGTATGTAGCAGAAGGCAAACAAGCATATCCAACTTTTGTGCCAACAAATGGAAATGGAAGGAAGCCAATAAAAATGTTCTTTTCCATCCGAGGTTTTCAAATACAATTGATGTTATATACTAAATTTTTTTTAGAAATAACTTGGGCAATATATCCAAACTGAGACTCTGGACTCAAAAATTAAGAAAAGGGTTGATTCAGTTTTTAGTAAGTATAAAGGAGTGAATTTAACAATTTTTTTTAAGAGTTAATTGACATTTAACTAGATGTATGTACATTAATAAATGTAATTTTCAATTTTTTTTTTTAACTTATTAGTTTTTGTGAAGTTGAAGATGATTATGTGAAATCGGTTTATGAATCTGACTTTTTAGCGGCTAACAACATATACATAAACCATATAAATATTTTTATTCGAAAATCACCTTCAAATGTTTTAATTTTTTTATATAAAAAAAAAATTTAGCCCCAAAACGATTTTATTTCATAAAAACGGTAAGCCCCAAATGGGTACACCATAAAAATGAAGAAATATTTACGGTAGATAGATAAATCTTTTATTTTGGGCTACTATTCGTGTGAAAGCAACACTCACCATTATCCTCCTCCACATCGGACTCGCACTTGGGGAAGTAGTACTCCAGGAGCCGTTCGGCCAGCGCCGTGGTGGTGTCCACTCCGTTGACAGCCAGGCTGCCGTACTGGGTGGCCAGCACCTCGTTGGCCTTCTGCCAGGCCAGATCCTTTAGCGAGGCGGCCTTCTGTTGGCCGGCGGCCTTAAACTTGACCACACGCTCCAGGTGCGGCTGGACCACATCGATCACCTTGCTCTTGGCCTGATTGTAGATCTCCTGGGGCGTGTCCTTAATGATCGGTGCCTTCACCTCCAGCTTGTCAATGCCCTTGACCAGTGTTTGGTCCACATAGGCGATTGGTCGATCTAGTTTGGTGACAAAAGGAGCTGCCGTTGTCACCGCTCGGGTCACACAATCCTCGGCCGCTGTTAAAGCCCATTCAAAGACTCGATTTTTGCCTTAAAATAAAGAAAAATGTATGATATAGTAGTTGTATTTATTATTTATAAGCCATCTCTTTTTAACATATAGTCCCATATCAAAAATGATATGGAAAGTGTTAATGACCTACGCATTTCGATTTAATATCGAGCTATGCGAAAGCAAAATAATTTGGTTCGGATCCTACTAATCTGTTTTTTCTGGAATTTCTAGAATTGTGTATTAGTAGTTTTTCACACACATGTGACAAAAACACAGACAGCTCGCTTATCAGTTGCAACCGTCATAATACAAATAATAATAATAATAAAAATAGCAATTCTGACTGATAAGCAACTGCGCAGTTCACGATCCGCAGGGGCCCTTTGACCCCTCTTCTATCTGTCTGGGCCCGCGAGTTTAGACTTTGATAGTTCGTCACTCGGCAAACACATCATCCAATTTCAATTCCAATCCCAATCCCAACAACTGCAAAAACAACTATGAAATATCACAAACAAGTCGAAAGTCCAACTACAGTTGTTATTGGAGCCCCCAGAGAGCCGCATAACGGCAGTGCTGCCAGCTTAATTTAGTTTCAAGCTAAATCTAGATTTTTAAAGCTGAATTAACAATTTAAAATATTTTTATACCAATTAACTTTAGGAAACTATAAGAAAAATGTTTACATAAAGGATGAATGCTTATATGAGAGATTCCATCTTTATATCAGAAGATACAATTTAATCTAATATGAATTTTTAATTCTCTATTTTTAAATTATTTTAAATTGTATGTATGTGCAGTAAAACTTCAATTAACTTTTAAAAATTTGTTGGCAAACTTTATTTAAAAATCAACTAATTGAGTTATAGTTTTGATACTGATGTTAACTTATTGTTTTTCTAGCTATATTTTCGTGCCATTTTAACTTTTTTTTTGCCACACCTGACAGCACTTACTTGCGAGAGTGCCAGTGGCGTGGCCATTGGGTCTGCTTTGCGTTTTCTCGCAACGATGGGGGCTCGCCCCAGCCCCTTTTCGTTGTCGGCGCCCCTGCAACTGCAGCCTACGTGCGGTGGCCTTTTTCGACCGACCCTCTCTCTTTTTCGCACTCTCTTTCGTTTCGTCGGCCAAGAGTTTTTTATTATGTAAATTTCGAACGAACTTTGAACGCGGCGCGTCACGAGGGCAAAGTCGCTTTTGTTGCTAGGTCATGGTTGTTGTTGCCGCCGTGATTTCGATTATTGAACGCCCGACAATCAATTAGTTTCAATTGAGCCTAATTCCTGGCCAATTAAAAAGAGTTGCCCTCGATGTGTTTCGACTTCGAATTGCAACTCGAATTAAAATGGCGAAGCCAAGTCGAAGTCAAAGCAACGGTTTCGGTTTCGATTGCGGTATTCGATTGCATGGGCTGCATTTGTTGTTGCTTTGCTTTGCTGCCCTCTCTTTTTTTTTGCCCCCCATCTTTTCGCTTCTCTATTTCATGTGTGCGAGCAACGGGACCCGAGTTCAATGCACTCATTTTATGCACTTTACACTCACACTGGCACTCACCTTTTACTTTGCCATAGACATCCTGCGATTTGTCCCATGCCGCATTCACAACGGGCAATTTAATGATCCTTTCGAGGGACTCGAGGTGCGGCAACAGGTCCTTGGCATCTTTGGGCTGCTCCACGTCGTTTATGGCTCCATTGCCGGTACTTCCATTCCCGGTCCCGGTGGTGGCGTGTTTTTGCTCTGCACTGGCCATGATCTTTTTTTTTCTGACTTTTTCTCACTTTTTCTTTCTTTTCTCTGGGTCTTTCTTTCAAGCTCTTTCGCTTGCCACCGCACTTTTTGTTTCTTCTTTTTCTTTTCTTTCACGAACAAAAAAACAGCTCAACGTGTGTGCGATTTTGTGTGTGTGTGTGACTGTGGGGTTTGTATGGCTGATAGCTTGGGTACTTGGAGCACTTTTTAGCACGTCTGCACACGTCTGTTCGCCGGGGCACTCTGTCTGATTTGCGAGCTGCGCGGCTGGTTTATTATACAAGCGAGTGCCGCCGCCAGTGCTGCCAGCGCCGAGCAGCGAATAGGCTGAGAGCGACAGATGTGCAGCTACTGGCTAGAAATAGCTAGGTTACTTCTCGAAAAGCTAGCTAGAAGGTGGAGTTCATTTTTTGTATCCTAAAAAACCCTTACCAGTTTTTCTAGGATTTTAAATTTAAAAAAAAGTTTTGAAAAGCAAAGAGCGGTGATAATAAAAAAAAACATTATATATATTATAACAATAAGAGTAAAAATAAAATAAAGCTCATTCTGCATATTAATAATGTAACAATGCATTTTAAAAATTGAAATGTCTTTATAATTTCTAACTTTATGTTTTTTTTGCCTTAAAAGGTTTAACCAGATTAGGGCAAAATCAGTTTAAATGAAAAAAAAATGAATTTAGAAAAATGCAAATTGATTTATTACCAGAGGTTCTTAATTGAATTTTAAGGTCAAGTTTAAAATTGTATGTTTGAATTCTGCTCTGATCCACTAACGATTTAGTTGATATTAATTTAAAATGATTACAAGTTGCAAAACAAGTATTAAATGCTTTGAAAGGTTCTCTACGGGTACGTGATGGAATGTTTTAAGTTCCAGCAATCTTATCTCACTCTTTTAAGAATCAGAAGCTAATAGTCTTATTTTTTGTCGACCTTAGTAGTAAAACAAACAAAATGCTTTATTATAACATTTTTCAAACAAACACATACTTCAAAAGGCAATACAACATAATTATTAACTTATTTAATATGTATTAACTTAAATTGTTTATTTTCTTTCTGACTTTAAAATAGCTAGACTGATAACACTTTACAGATAGCCGTTGCTGCAGAGAGCAGAGCTCCTAAGTAGCGAGAGATTTAAGATTACAGCTCTCTTTGGGGATCTCAAAAAATAAAAGATATGAATAACTGTTAGTATTCTAGCTTCTTGACCAGTACACAAGCGAAATATTTTACAAAAAACACAAATAAGTAAAGACTTTTTCATAAAATATTTAAAATTTATTCCAATCAATATTAAAAGAAATTCTTTAAATGATACTCTTGAAAATTTATTATGTTTAGTAAAACTTCAACGTTTCCTAACATACATATGTATAAATAACGTATGTATCTTAAGTACTAGGGTTATTTACAAGCAAATTGTTCGATTTAATTTATGGTTAAAATCTAGTTTAAATCTATTACGAAATGTAAGTTTTCTGTGATAAAAGATATAGGACACAACTCAATTCTTCCTTGTTATCCATCGTGATGAGCAATTCTTTTGCGGATGAAGCAAGAGAGACGAGGAGAATAAACGGAATTTGGGAAGAAGAAAGAGACAGCGCCTATGTTTGATCGCCATGCTTGACAACTAGATTAATTAATACGCAGTGTCGGGCGCAAACAAAGTTAAGATTGAAGTACATTTCAATGTACATACAAATGTAGGTTTGTGTTTTTGTGTGTGGGGGCACTTCCATTATCAATGGCCAATGAGCACCACCACGCAAATGCTTCGTGTGACCTTTGAACCCCTGCCACCGTATCGATAATACGCCACTGCACATTCACACATCTTATTCTACATATGTACATACATACATATGTACGTAATACTCACCGAATGCTGTGTAATTTGCTTGGCATTCCAAAGTCCGCAGTGTGACAAAACGAAAACAAATTACGAGAACTACAAGCGAAACGTGCCCGTCCCCATCTCCATCCCCCATCTTGGGAACCCACTTCCATTCCCCCATTTCTTTATATGTATGTTAAAAATCATGCGTTTGTCTGATTACTTTTTACAATGTATCCCTTAAGATGGGTTACAACTTTAAAAATGAAAATTAAAAAGCTTCCTAGGTAATAATTACAAAATTCATATACATAATAGATCTGTTAAAATCAGTAAGAGAATAACTTATTATGTACATATGTGTTCATCATGTGTTCATGTGTTACGACTTCAAAAAACAAAAACCAAACGGTTTTCTAGATAATAATTTTCAATATAATGTGTTCAAAAATATGATGAGAATATATATTATACCAAAATTAGGCAATTTATTTATCTAATACCAAGAAAATTTATATTTTCCCAGATTCAAGAAAATCTTTTATATAACACCATTTTCACTCTATTTAATCCTCCGAAATCCCTTAAAATATCCGAAATAATATACCAGAATGGGTTAATGCCCTCAGCTTGTTATGCGCTAAATAAGGTAATTATGTCTGTCTGATAAGACTTAAGCAGCTAGACAATCGGGCCAACCATGAATGCGCAAATAAACCAGGCCCTCGAGTTGGGAAGGCTATCTTCTGTTTAGACCGTAATCCAAAGTCCGGCACTGTCGTCACTAATTTGTTTATGTTGTAACAAAGACCAGGTGCCTGGCTTATCTTGACTTGGTCTGGTCGGGCCCCAATCGCCGATATCGCTAATAAACAAACCAATGTAACCGATTCCACCTTTTTTATAGAGCCATATTTATTTGTGGACTTTGTAATCGACGGTTATATTACATTAAACGGATGAAATCACTTCAACAATGTTTGGTAAACTGATTTCGCTAACAGATATCGATTAACTAAAGATAACATGGTGTAAATATTGTTATGATCATTACGAAAATATTATGAAGCAACATTATATTACCCTTTTGATGGAATAGTTTCTTATAAGCAGTTAAAAAATTGTATTTCTATGCTGGATTAAAATTGTTTGCTTGCCTAGCAATGGAATTTTTAAAGATCAAGTTACGTTTTTGACGAATTAAATTGCCATAGGTCTCAAACAAGGTAAGTCTATAAAATTAAAATTTATTCAGAAATATTAAACTATTGAAAACTGAAACTAGCTGAATAATGCTTTAGTTTGGGATTGTCTATATATTTTACAACGACAGACATAAAAAGAGCTGCATTTCAAACCGATTAGCAGTTGGCCGCACGTAGACAAGACCCAGACCGCATATAGTACCATAGTCTCAACAGGCCCCGTCGTGGCATCAGTATATGTATATAGGCTATACATGTATACCTATATTGCTTTCCGTTATCGGGACCCAAAGAGTGTCGTCCGTCTGTGGGTAATTTCCCGAATGATCGAGCCTAGAATTCCATTGGATTTTGGACAGATTATACATTCGGGCATTTAGCGCACAACTTCAGAGGCCTAGGCATACTCTATATATAGAAGGAGGAAACATTCAGGTGACTATGACATATAGACGGACTTTGAATCAGCGGCGTGAGTGATTTTTTCTATATACTGGTGCAATACCTACATGTGAAAGGCGAATGAGTCGCTTGCTGGTTTTATTAAGTTTTTATTTCCTTTTTTGTTTTTTTTGTGCGCTGCTTTCTAGATGGATTGTACTTTGCTGATAAGGGGGTTTTGAATACTTTTTTATTATCTGCTTCATTCATTTAATGCCTTTGTTTTATAATTGTCGCCGGTTATCGTTATGAGGTATAAGCCTTAAAGCCACTTATTAAACAAAGTTCGCCGTGCTTATCGCAATCTAGTGACACAACGGGTTCAAATTACTCGAGAGTCCAATTGAAGGGGCGATTAAATTTCTGAGAATTATGGAAATAGATGAAAGATAGATTCCAAATGTACGTTTTTGCAGTATCGAAGTTTGTAAATCTTAAATAAATTCTTGATTTAGAAAGCTTGATTAACATGTGAAAGCCCAACAAATTTCGGCAATTGGCTTCTGAATAAAAATTTTGTTGTATATTTACGGAGAAATCCATTAAAATTATATAAACTTTTAATTCAAATACTTGTACAAATTATGGTAATACATTGGGCATGTTTTCCATTTATTATTTCTAATCCAGTTATATTCCAGTTAATTTTCTTTGACTCTTAAAGTCAGGTAACCAAAGGCTGTCCAACAATTCGTATAAAATATGTTGAAGAGTTATAGATGAGGGACTAATTATGGGTATTGGGGCATGTCTGCTATGTTCGACTACGTGTATTAAACCCAATTCGTCATGGGGCAAAAACCCAGAGAAGACTAGAAGGAACAGCAACGACGACACCACAAAAAGTGGTCTGGCGGTTTGGACTTTGGACGGTTTACGTGATGTCGTCGTCATGACGCCGACTTTGACTGCGGCTGAGAACAAATTCGATGTGTTGGAGCGTGTATTTCATTAAAAGCAAAAAAAAAAAAAAAAAAAAAAAAACAACAAAAAATAAAATAATGAAGGCAAACCAGAATCAAAAAGAACTCTTTGACTAAATTTAGACGGGACCAAAGACCATTTCTTGCGAATACGTCATCGCTTGTAGATAAATGTGTTTTTATACATTGGGGTGGCAAAGTAAGTTCAAACTTGTTTTACCGGCCCAAACTAGTTATTAAGCTTTTTTGAACAATGCAACCTAATATTATTTATTTTATATATCAAGTTATATGAAATGTTTGGTGAAAATTTCATGGGATTACTGGGGACTTATCATACATAACTTGACTGCTAAATAAGTAATATTAATGGAACTTGGTTAACGACAGAAATATAACAAATTTAAGATGAATAGAAAATCGTTGCGAAAATGTCATCACTGGAACCGTAGTTACAACAGTCTTACGCAACTTGTATCTCTATGCATATACATATGTAGAACATTAATGCTTTATGCAATTATTTGAAGCCCAGATCGGGGATCACAACCGCCATGTTTCCCGTTTCAGTTCGAGTGGGTCTCCATTAAGGAGCAGACATCTAATCAGACGGCGGAATTGCCTCGTTTCAATTCATTTTCGTCTGGCTGAAAGACGCTGACAAACTAAAGAATGTACAAACACACCCATATGCGTATTTGTATATATATTTTAATGATTTCTGTGGTTTTTGTACACAAGCTGATAGTGATAATATAGTGGCCCCCACGCATTGAAAGCGTGAAATGCTCGCTCTCTTTTTCCCTATCTGTCTGCTTCCGTTCCTCCGGCCTTGTCTTCGAATTGGTGATAAATTCCCTTAAAATATCAAATTGGTATTTAATTCCAAGTGAGTTAAGTACATATTTACTTGCATTAAAAATAATTATAATATTAGAAATATATTGTAACCGATTAGATTAAGCTGCCTCTTGGGCAGCAGTGCGCTAGTCACAATAAACATTTACATTAAAAAAAAATGAATATATCAAATAAAGCGCGCCATTACTTTCTTATAGCAGTCTTTTGGGCTGCAGTCTTTTTTCATGCCACTTTTATACGGCTTCAAAAGCTTTGCTTGCAATTGGGCTGTGGTTTAAAAACAAGTAAGTTTAAGAAATTTATAAAAAATTTGACTGCAAAGAGTAACAACTGTAATAGGTTATTTAAAACCAAAATAAGAATTTTGGCTTACTCAAAACATTATTAAATGAATAAATACCTACTAGCATATTTAACTTGTATTATATTTGAATTCTCTTAATCATCCTGTTTTTGTGTAAATATACATTTGTTTAAATTGAATTAGTTGACTAAGTTCTTCTTAAGCCAGCGATTAAGTGAAATATATCATGCTTTTTTAGGCAACCCCTTTACTTAACACAAAAAGCTATATTTAATTCTTGGTTTTACTGCGTACCTTATATAATATAAATCGATTTTTTTAAAGGTCTAAATATATATTCTTTGCGAAATAACCAAAAAATATGGGGCTGGGTGGCGGTATTTCCGTTCAATTATTGAGTAATGATAATGTAAAAATGAGGTCCGTTGAGGGAATCGCGGCACCTGTTGTGACCCCTGCGGCCATCGAGCACCTGGCCAAGGCAATAACCTGCGAACGGCCGAAGGAAACGGAGCTTTTGCCATGGACAACGGACCGACTGATGCCACACCCACTACCGCCGCCTTCCGGCTGGTGCTGCTGAGCAAATCAAATCCCGTGATGGGCTGCTACATGTTCTGGACCAGTCTGCTGGTGCTCAAAATGCTGGTGATGTCGCTACTCACGGCCCGTCAGCGGATGAAGACCAAAACGTTCGCCAACCCGGAGGATTTGCGAATCAGCCGGAGCCCGGAGGTTCGATTCGGAGACCCCGGCGTGGAGCGAGTCCGACGGTAAGTTAAAATATACCTATACCATGTAAATTTAGCAATCCAATTTTAAGTTTGGTAAATATCACTTGACTGAATTTAAGCAATAAGGTTTATTTTTATACAAGGATTTATTTGTGAGGATTTATTTTGAGGTACAAAATTTCGACCTTAAATATATGTATGTAACGTATATTTTATTATTCAAAAATAGTGTGTGTTCTTCTTAGGAGAAGAATATGTAAGCTGAAGAATTCGCGTTCATCAACTTTCTAGAATCAATCTTAGGATGTTGGAAATCACTTCTCATATGGTTCTTGTTATTAGGATTATTAAAAAACAATTATGAGGTTTTAATATTACTGAACTTAGATCTATAAAGTACTATATTGTTGTTTTAATCACGACTTCTTGCAGAGCCCATCGCAACGACTTGGAAAACATTCTGCCCTTCCTTTTAATGTCGCTGGTCTACGTGGCCAGTGGACCGAATCCCCTGACCGCCCGTTTGCTCATCCGCATCGGAGCAAGTGCCCGGCTGCTCCACACGCTGGTCTACGCACTAATCCCAGTTCCACAACCAGCCAGAGCCCTGGCCTTCTTCACCACCTTCGCCATCACTTGCTTCGAGGCGGGCTACGTACTCTTTTGCTGTATTAAGTACATTTAGACCGGTAGTGACCCCCACTTACCCAACTTTACTACTCACCTCACTCTCTCATATTTAAACAGCACCAGTGATGTCCAGGTACTATTAGGTACTTTTGTTCAGTAAAAAGTATAGATGTGTGTATAGCTTGAATTTATATATATAGGAATTTCTCACACACCTTATAAATTAGGTCATTTGCGTCATTTTTACAATACATTAAATGGTTCCGTAATAAAACTATCATAAAATGTTCTCTATGAATATTAATTTTAATATCCAACCAATAGAGCAAAAAATATACATTTTTTCCATTTAGGAGCAAATATCTAAAATGCCTTTTTTTAAGGATTCACTTATTCTTTGTAGTGGCAAATATAAGGATTTAAAACTAGAAGCTAGAAACCTTTTATAATTATAATGTTCTTTAGATGAATCTCAATTTTTTGTTTTAAATAAACTGACACTTGTAGAATGTACGCACAAAAAAGTATTAATATTAATTTTACAAAGGTCCAGTATTTACTTTGAATACGTTTCAGAAAAAATATTAGTCTCGAGGACTAGACTTACAAATCAAAAGGAAAATTTTAGATAACATAAGTAATAGTTTTATCGGTAAAATAAAAATAGTACCTCCCTGAAAAGGAGAATAGTTTTGTAATACCTTTTTTCTGTAGGTATAGGTATACATACCTATGTTTTAGAGATATATAAAAATTCTAAAATATAGTCTAAGGAACTTAAACATTTTAAATAGTAGTTTAGCTCACCATCTGGGTAGAATATAAATATTACCCGTCCCATTGCTGCACAGCACCGTAGATTCGGTTCGACGCAATTCGTAACCAGTTTGGCCGCGTGTTTTAATGATCTCCACAATGAGCTGAGTGCGGTGATCATTTTTATCATTTGTCGAAGTCGGCTCAAAGCGAACGCACATACCTCATCCGCCATGTCGACCCCAGTTGGAAGTGGAAACACAAATGACAGCCAGACGATGAGGCCGCCTGGTGAAATGTTTACCCTGGAAAATCCCGTCTTCTGCTGCTACCTTTTTTGGGCCACGGTGCTGGTGGTGAAGATGCTGCTCATGTCGCTCCTGACGGCCATACAGCGTTTCCGGTATAAGGTAAGCTAAGCCATTGTGTCGCTGCACTTGCTCAAAGGTCACCACCAATCCGACATTCCATTCACAGCTGCTGGTACTCGTACCGCTGGCACTGCGACGCAAGGTAAAATAGCCACAAGTCATCGTGATCACCCTAGATTAATTCGCTTAACCTGTTTGGCAAGACTCTAAAAATGGTTGCTCTTTTCGTTTTTTAGATATTTCCCAACCAGGAGGATCTGTTCTTCAAGAATCTCGAAGTGCAATTTAATGATCCGCATGTGGAGCGCGTTAGAAGGTGAGTTTTTGTTATATTCCTAATCTGTAATTCTATAATTCCGCGTATACAAAGCTTTAGGACTAATCTTATAAAAAAAAGTCACTAAGTATGTGAGTTTGCACAATACAATCTTCGAATCTTTATCTTTGACTGCCCTGGATTTTGTTCAAAATAACATTTCTTATTACACTTCAAGATTTAACTACTTTTAAATCGGTATTTGTGTGTCAATAACTAACGAGTTACTCCGCTAATCATCAAAATAGCTATACTATTAAGTATCATTGTTGACGACTTAAATTAGGCTGAGGCTCACTTAAAGGTACTTAAAATATAGCTTATAGTCCCATAGCGATTTTCAGCTCACCCTCAAAAGACAAATTTTTTCTTGAGCTTTGAATAGTACTTGTATTTTACAATCATTTAATTTAATTTTTACCCCACCTTCCAGAGCGCATCGTAATGACATGGAGAACATTCTGCCGTACTTTATCATGTCCTTGATCTACATTAGTACCAATCCGAGTGTCGGAGTCGCCTGTAATCTGTTTCGAGTGGCCTCCGTGGCCAGGATTATCCACACCCTGGTCTACGCCGTTTATCCGGTTCCGCAGCCGTCGAGAATCTTAGCCTTCGGTACTATGCTATTGATTACCTTCTACATGGCCGCCGTAGTCGCTTTGCGCACCCTAAGCTTTATCTAAATAAACTCTAGTCCCTATTGGCTTAACCCGTAAATGCTACAAGCTTTATTTCTGGTTTAGTTTTTGGGTTTAGCTTTAGAAATATTAAACTGGAATCAAAGGGTAAGTATATTTACAACTTATAAATCAAAAAAGTTAAAAAATAATGAGATTCTAAAAGTCCCTCAATCTCCATATATGAAATACAAGTAGATAAACTATACGATTTTTATAAAAAACAAACAAATTCAATTAGTTAAAGATAACCGTTACTTTTCTAAATATAATTGGTGCGCTTATAGGAAATAGACATTTGACCATTTACAATGACCATAAAAAATTTTTCAAAGTCATGGTCAATAAAATAAGGAAAACTGATTTTAAATATAATTTTTGTCTAACTGAGAATCTGATAAAAAAAATAAATAAGAAAACTACATACTTCCACGGGAAATCCTAAGTAGGCGCTATGCAAGAATAAAAACATCACAAACCGCTTGATTTTCAATTAATTTAGTTCTATAATTAGCTTGAGATGCAACAAAAACAAACAGTGGATGTGGAGAGGGAATCCGGGGAACTGGGACCTGGCACTGGGAATCTGCAGGACTAGCAGCCTAGTCCCTGAGTCTCATCCGGGATTTGCCAGGATAATTATATGTTGAAGCCGGCATCGCGCATGCACTTCTTGTGCGCCTCAATCAGCGCCAAACAGTTCTCCTCGCCGTTCTCCACAATGCTGGAGGAGATTGGACGGGGAGACATTTATGTATTAGCCATGTGGTTGCGTCATGTGGCACTCTCACACTCACCAGGCGTCACGTGCCCTTTTGGTCTCCGGACAGGCACAACAGGCCTTGCAGGTCTTGGGCTTCTCGCCGGCAGCTGGAGCGGTTGCGGATGCGGTGGCCACCGGCTGAGCAGCCGAAACACTTGGAGCTACGGCTCCCTGGGACATGCTGTTGCCCATTCTACAATTCGGTTGCCTCACTAACTGCTGCTGGGGGAACCAATAGACTGGGCGTTACAGAAAACTCTTCACGTTTGTTTATATAATAAAACTCACGTTTCGAGACAGATATTTCACCACAATTCGGTTTATCGGCGCACAGCACACAAAAATAACTAAATTCAAGTTCACTGAACAGGGTTGTCAAAGGTCTGACGTATATCGCTTTAAAACTAGAGTTGGTAGGTATCGCCAGAACTATCGTTCACCGTTTTTTTTTTTGCTTAGCTTTTTAATTTTATTTAAACCATGCAAGCATTCAGAACAAATTTCGATGTTATATTCTAGTTTATGTTGTATTATATTTGTTCAAATAAATGAATCTTTTTATTAATATATGATTAGCAACTAAACATATTGTGGCTTAAGAGATTTTATTGTATTACGCTTAGCAATTTTAAAGCCAATGGCATACATCTATATTTTGACATACAAAAAATTCCATTTTATTAATGTATACTGACTTCATATTAATGTCAAATTAATTATGTATCTGGGTTATTTTTGCAACCTTTCTACATTCTGCAGTGTGTTTCAGCCGACTGGAGGTCAGGAAGATAAACAAATAAGAGCACAAGTATTTGTATTTCCATTATATTTTAATAGCTGTGAAGACGATTGCCGATGTACATTTAAAATAAACTAAAAATACGGAATCATTTTTTTTTTATATACTGTGAACTACAAATTTATGGCAAACACAAACGATGATTTTGAAATCCATGATATAGATTTCAGGACACGCGACAGCCCTGGCAAAGAACATTATACAACACAGAACAGCTGTGGCCCATCGACATCGAACAGTGTTGCACAACAGCCGAATGCAAATGTCAACAAAGGATTTTGGTTTTTATTCTTATTTATTTCATGTTTCCATTTGCTCGATGTTGGCGGCCTGCTCCTTCTTCGCCGACTGCTCCACCTTGAGCCGTTGCAGCATGTTGTAGGACACCAGGTCGAGTTTCAGGTGCTGCACACTCAGCGCACTGCCGTCCCACTCGCGCAGCATTTTCAGCTTGAGCGGATCGCAGAGGTTCATCAGCTCCAGGCCGCCGCTTCGGAACTCGTTGCGCTCCTTCTCCAGCGTCATGGTGATCACATCCTTGCGGGCGGCATGCTGATTGGCCCGATGTTTGCCAATCGACTGCTTCAGGTTGATCTGCTCCAGTTCCTCGTCGAACCGGGTGAAATACAGTTCGATCAGATCCTCCAGCTCCTGTGGAGTCAGCGGTTCGGTGCGTCCCCCATCGATTTGGCCCAGAAACCAGCTCAATTTCTCGCCGGTTATGTTGCTCTTGATGGCATGACCCAAACGCACTCGGTGCTTGTGATTCTGGCGACGGGCTTTCTTGCCCAACGCCTTGGTTTTTCGGCTATTTGGGTGCTTGCACTTCTCCAATTCCTTGCGAAGATTCGTCTGGTGTTTGTGGAGTAGTAAACCTTATTTTAGTTCTACATCAAGCACTATGTTTACTGCATTCTTACCATTTTGATGCGTAGTTTCACGTTGTTTTGATTCTAGTGTTGGTAAACGCTGGCGGGCACATGCGGCTCGCGATCAGCTGAGTAACTAGTGGTGGTTACTTTAAACGATAGTTTGAGTTGACCGATCTTTAGTTTCAACTCAGTTCCTATTCAAATATTTTCTTTCTTCTAAATCTTTATCTAATATTTTGTTCTTCTAGTTCGATCATCAAGCATTTTCTGAAAATCTTCAAAAAATTGTTTTCTTTTTACATGTAGCCTTAAAAAAATAATAGGTAAAGTTTTCATAAAAAATACATTTGCAAATCTAAGAGACAAATATAATAGCTGTATTTATACTAATGCCAATATTTAATCCAATGATCGTGCACTAGATATCGATAGTTTCCAGTCCATCTCCAGACAGAATCATATGTTTTTGCACACATACACACACACCTGCTCGATCGCATGAGGCTAAAACCCACGATCCGAACCGATCCGCGTCTATTCCCGTGCATTTCCAGGCCCCAAAGTCCCCGCTAAATGGCAACACACCTGCTCAGAAATGGCGCTACCTGTTGGCTGCTCAGGAACTGCATTTCCCGCCAGGCGACAGTAAGTATTCCCAGAAAACTGCCGTCAGTCCATTCCTTGGCAAAAGAAAAACAACACCGCCGTTATGTAATCTCAAAAACACCTAGCGTGCGTTCGAGCAAGAGGGAAATACTTATCTCCGCACTCTTTTAATCGGAGCGAATTTGTTTTCGTTACACGGAAAAAAATAAGATTAAAGATCAGAAGGTTTCAGGTCCTATTTTTGATTTCTAATTTTGAATTCCATTTTTAAAAATTATTATTTTTTTGTAAAGTGTAGATGTTGCTTAATAATATAATTATGAAGATTTTAAAATATGACTCAAAACTAAAGCATAAGTACTTTAAAATACATATTTTATTATACAAATGTAGTTTATCAAAATATTTAATTGTAGAAAAATATTTATGTTGCTTAAAATTGTATTGCAAAGTTAAAACGCTTTTCTTATAAAGATACTTCAAATTGTAACCTTAATATAATATTGAATTTTAAAAGTGCTAAATGGCTTATGTAGTAAGCATAACTAAAATATTTATAAAAATATTTTTACAAATGTAAAAATGTGTTGTCTCAATTAAAACAATTTTTTTCCCAACTTAAACTGCCTTCTAGTAAATATTAAACTAACTAAAATGTTTTTTCCCTCATAGTTGAGACGCTGCCTGCATGTGACTCCCAGTCTGGACAAGACGGTCTCCTTCCACCTCAGCGACATTGGTGAGGGCATCCGCGAGGTGACCGTCAAGGAGTGGTTCGTGAAAGTGGGCGACACTGTGGAGCAGTTCGACAACCTCTGCGAGGTGCAATCGGACAAGGCATCGGTGACGATCACTAGTCGCTACGATGGCAAGATCACCAAGATCCACCACAGCATCGATGAGATCGCATTGGTGGGCAAGCCTCTGGTGGATTTCGATGTGCTGGACGAGGAGGGCGATGACGCGGATGACTCCTCTTCGTCCTCCACATCCTCTGAGAGTTCTGCCAGCGAAACGGAGCAGTCGCAAGCAACGGGAGCAACCGCTACGTGCACTGGCGGTCGTATGATCACACCCGCCACGCCCTCCGTTCGTCGCCTGGCCAAGGAGCATCAGTTGGATCTGGCCAAGGTACCGGCAACGGGCAAGCATGGTCGTGTGCTTAAGGGCGATATACTGGAGTTCCTGGGGCAGGTGCCACCGGGCACAAATGTGCCACATCCCACGCTGGTAACTAAGAAACCAGGTGCTAGTGCTACTGCTGCAGCTGCTCCTGCTCCTGCTGTTTCTGCACCCGCCGATCGGGTGGAGGTGCTCAAGGGAGTGCGCAAAGCCATGCTCAAATCGATGACGGAATCCCTGGTAAGTGGTCATAATGTTAATTGCCATAAGTATCCCAAATAAGCATTGTCTTCTTCCCCCAGAAAATTCCGCACTTTGCGTACAGCGACGAGATTGATATGTCACAGCTGGTGAAATTCCGCAGCCAACTGCAGGCGGTGGCCCAGGAGAAGGGAGTACCCAAGCTTACCTTCATGCCATTTTGCATTAAGGCCGCCAGCATTGCCCTGTCCAAGTATCCAATTGTTAATAGCTCACTGGACTTGGCCAGCGAGTCTCTGATCTTCAGGGGAGCTCACAATATTAGCGTGGCCATCGATACGCCGCAAGGTTTGGTGGTGCCGAACATCAAGAACTGCCAGGCGAAGACCATCATCGAGATTGCCAAGGATCTAAACGCACTCGTGGAGCGCGGACGCACTGGCTCCCTGAGCCCAGCGGACTTTGCCGATGGCACCTTCTCGCTCTCCAACATCGGAGTTGTAAGTAGTGTTAAGTTGTTGTGTGGCAAACGTTATGATTACCTTGTGAATCCCTTAGATTGGCGGCACCTACACGCACCCCTGCATTATGGCGCCTCAGGTGGCCATTGGAGCGATGGGAAGGACCAAGGTGGTGCCGCGTTTCAACGACAAGGATGAGGTGGTCAAGGCTTATGTGATGAGCGTGAGTTGGTCCGCCGACCATCGCGTCATCGACGGCGTGACCATGGCCAGTTTCTCGAACGTCTGGAAGCAGTATCTGGAGCAGCCGGCTCTATTCCTGCTGCAGTAACTCCAGTGATTCAACTCCCACGCATTAGGCTGTACACTGTACTGTACCCCATGCATTTATCTAGACATATAACTAATTGTGTAAATTGTACATCAATCCGTTTTGCTCTGGAACATGTGCCATGTGCCGCCGCCCATCCCCGAAACGTGCATTTATAGGAGGCACGCTGCTCTGAGCGGCTCCTCGATTACTTTAAGCTCCTGGCGCACATGGCTGGCTTCCTTATATTTTTCTTTGTTAACCCATGCATTTATACCGCATATCAGTTCTTTGTAGTTTGTTAAGCAGCAGCTTTAGCGTACAGTTCAACTGTAGTGTGTGCATTTATTTTAAAGCTTTGTTTTAATGGCTGTCCAATAAATATCCAAAACGGTTTATGTAAAGCAGCACCATCTTTTTGCATATTCTCACGGCGCCTAAGTCAGTTGTAAAATATTTGTAATTGGTTTACAGCTTTGTCTTTGTGGCCTTGTGGCGGCTTTTTGTGATTGGTCCACCTCTTGCATCCTTTAAAACTGGAATTAAGGGCAGTTAGTTTTAGGTTCCGGATGTCCTGGAAATCTCTTAGATTTAGAGTTTTTTATTTTAGCTTTTGGTATAAAAAGTAAAATATAAAAAATAATTGCAAAAACAGTGATCATTAAATCGTAGAGTAATATAATCTTAAAATTATTGATTGCTACTCTTATAAGTTCTCTAGGGTCCATTAAAAGTCCTTAAAGTAAGACTTTTGAATTAACGCCTCCCAAAATGTCCCTATCTACGCTTAATGGCCCTGCTATTACAACCAGCCAGAAAAAAGAACTCGTATATTTTTAAGAACACTTTTGCGTAAAACTCGCATTACTCGCTATGAGGGTATGTACAATGTACATACACGTTTTTATACCCTTGCAGAGGGTATTATAATTTCAGTCAGAAGTTTGCAACGCAGTGAAGGAGACGTTTCCGACCCTATAAAGTATATATATTCTTGATCAGCATCACTAGTAGAGTCGATCTAGCCATGTCCGTCTGTCCGTCCGTCTGTCCGTCTGTCCGTCCGTCTGTCCGTCTGTCCGTCCGTTTATATGCAAACTAGTCTCTCAGTTTTAAAGCTATCTGCATGAAACTTTCCCAAAAGTTGTCTTTCTATTGCAGGTAGTATATAAGTCGGAACGAGCCGGATCGGACAACTATAGCATATAGCTCCCATAGGAACAATCGGAAAATTAATGAAAAAAAATTATAACTTTGCTGTTTTTTAATTTTTTGTTTAGTTCTTCGACATATAGTAATGGTTAAATATTTCAGAATTACGGTTTAAATTTCATCAAAATCGGTCGACTATAGCATATAGCTCCCATAGGAACAATCGGAAAAATAAATGAAAAAAAATTATAACTTTGCTGTTTTTTAATTTTTTGTTTAGTTCTTCGACATATAGTAATGGTTAAATATTTCAGAATTATGTTTTAAATTTCATCAAAATCGGACGACTATAGCATATAGCTCCCATAGGAACAATCGGAAAAATAAATGAAAAAATATTATAACTTTTCTGCTTTTTAATTTTTTGTTTAGTTCTTCGACATATAGCAATGTTTAATTATTTCAGAATTATGGTTTAAATTTTATCAAAATCGGACGTCTATAGCATATAGCTCTCATAGAAATAATAAAAATATATAAAATAACTATCTAATAATTGAGCTGCAAATCATCATAGTTTCAATGTTTTTCAGCATATACTCAAGTAAATCATAATTTAAATATTTTCAAAAGTATTTAATTCATGCAATAGCTGCAAGGGTATATGAACTTCGGCTTGCCGAAGTTTGCTTTCTTTCTTGTTCAACTTTGTTTTGCAGCAAGATTAATTTAATTTTAGCATCCATTTGACTCTGCTCAGTTGCTGAGCACGTTATTTTCCGCGTGGCGGTAGGATATCAGTGTAGCCAGGTGAAAGTTAAGCTAAAAGAAATATAGCTAGATCGGCTTCTAATACATGACATTATAATACTGTTAATTTTGCAAAAATACTGTGTTAAACTAAAAAATGTTCATTAAAAAAGTGTACATTTTCAGTAAATTTCGGTGTGCTGGATTAGAATCTGGTCCAGAAAATGTTTAAATAAAAAGTCTATGCAATATAAAACGATATTTTAAACGGAGCTAGCAGTAGCTCCATACATATCGATGCCAAATATGTTGTCAACAAAATATTTTCTAATGTTTTCAGAATTTGTTTGTAGACCACACTTTTTGACAACAATGTGTATGGAGTTACTGATAATATCGTTCTATATTTTGCAAAGAAATTTTATAGTTTATTCAACTACTATTTTGTAGAGCTCACTCCAACTTTAGATTCACATCAATAAAGATCTTAGATCTAAATAGACTCAGTACACAACAATTATATATAGCTATGTATCATGGTCATGAGCGGTTTTGAAACTAACTAATTTTTAAATGTCTAGAGATTTATGTGAGTTGTTGGCATACTTTTCCCTCTTATGTACATAAAGCGTTAAGTACCCGAAATATAACGCTGAATATATCCGTTTAAAATCCGTGATGCCATCACAAAAGTAAAATTCGCGGGACATGCGCAGTGTTGCATCAGTCAACGAGAATCCAACAAGTGCGGCATGGAAATGTGTCGTTCGTCTCCGGTCGTGCGCCTTCGTGACGCTTCGTAACACTTCGTATCGCTACGGCACACTTCCAGCCCCCAGAGCAGAGGAATTTCAACACCACCACAACGAACATTGCAGTGGCGCCCGAGCAGGGACCGTGGGGGAGTCGGAGGTATGTATGTATGTATGAATGTATGTGGGTATGGGGTGTTCGGTTCGCTGGCTGACTGGCGTCCTTTGGTTTAGCTGCTTGGACGGTCGGTTAGAAAATTCAGTCACACCACGGCCAGCGCGCAAACAGCTACAGAAAAACAGGAGCTAACGAGCTGCGAAGAGGGTCCTTCGGCTGCAACTGACCACGAGAGCTGGGCAAAAGAAGAAGCCTACATTTTTTTTTGCTGTTTGTACAATTAAAAAGACATAAACAAAAGTGATTGTCCCAGTGAATATTGTGGGCTGTGCTGCGCCATGTCAACAGAATGCAAAACTCTGATGGCAAACTAAAATTAAATTAACTGAAACAACAAACAATAACTAGTGAACTAAGGTAAGTTGTCCAGTTCAACCACATAATTGCGAAGCTATGAAATCCCCAAAAAAAAAAATTAATATGAGTGTGTACACTATATATCATTGTTGTTTCTATTCCGCTGTCGAGTGTGTATTTTTTTTCGTTCTTAACGATTTTTCCAGTGACCTTGTTGCGTACGCCAGAACGTACAAATTCTGCGTGTGTGTGTGTCATTGCTGCTTAGCCTTGTCCTCCCCCTTCTATCCACATTCCGCATATACACACACACACGCATATTCATACATCTGTGTGCGTGAGTGTGTTCTGCGCATATATTTTTAGGCCGAAATTTTGGTAGCATACTTTTCGGAATTTATGCGGGAGTTTTTCGGGGACGATAAACCGAAATTCAAGGCATTTCACTTAGCATATTGCCTGTTCCCGGGTTTTTGCATTCCACGGATTGTATATACAGCCACAGCTGCGGTCAAGATAATAGCCCCGAAAAACATGTACCCATAATTGACTTGGCCAACTTTATCTACAAGCGTTATAAAGCAGGGGTTGTTCCACAACACTTCCAATTAAGAACAATTATAGAGATGACTAATTGAAAGCAAGATAGCAAATTGAGGTTAAGTTTGCAAACTTTTAAAAATAACATATATAAAATGTATTTAAATGTTTTCATAAATAAGTGAAATAGAAATTTTATTTCAAGATACAGACTTACGATTTTAATAATTGGAAAACAAGAAAACTAGTATTATATTTACAATATCATTCTTTGTATAGGATTTTAAGAAATGTTATCTTAAAGTGGCCAATAAAGACGTAGTTTGTTTTTATATATATTTTATATTTCATTAACAGTTTACGAAAAAAAATAATAAATTGCTAAAATCAAACATCAAAAACTAAGAAGATTATGATTAAAACGTAACTTTTGAAATCTGTGGTCGTTATACAGCTACAATTATTATAAAATATATTAAAAATAAATAAAAAAAAGTTTCAGGAAGAAACTCTTTTGCAAACAATTACCTTTTGTTGGGAACTTGCATTAAAACGAAAATAGAAACGTCTACAAAAATCGAAAGCAATTAATGATTTGTATTCGTTTTGAAAATCATTGAAAATAACATATCTATGGCCTTAGAATAAATATTATTTTTTTAATATATTTTCTAAGAGTAGATTAATATCTAGCGCACAACACTTACAGCCTACAATGTGAGTGCTATTGTTCTGAGCGCAATCGTATTATTCCCGTGGAATGTTAATACCCGAATGATAAGACCATTGGGCATCACCATTTGTGGCCTGGCCTTGATGTACGACTGTATCTATATATGCGCTGTGCTGATGATGTGGCTTCAGACTGTTGTCAGGGAATGCAATTGCCGAGCCCTTTATTGATTTTATGATACCACGACTAGAAGAGAAGGACCCTCCGTCCACGGAACACTCCCCCCTTTAGTGGCACGTGCAAAACAACAAAACAAGTGCGGCAACAACAAGTCATTCACACCATCGGAGTAGAAGTAGATGCAGATGGGTACAAGGCAAAAAAAAGAAGGCATGTCGGTACACAGAACTAAAAGACGTGCAATTATTCATACGTCAACAAATATATTTTAAATTCACCATTGAATAAAGTAAACTTCGAAGGAAAATGGTCTTTTTTAGATTCTTGCTTTGAAAATACTTTCAAATCAAAGATAAAGATCTGAGATAAAGGGAGACCTGCTGTATTTCGGTCATGTTGTCCCGCTTTTGCAAATATTTTTCTGTGTACAATTGTGGGTGTTGCATGGAAATGGCATAGCAGCAAAGCTCGACTGACTGACAGACATGTTCTGCCTACTCTAAGTGGCTTGAGTGGTGACAGGAGAGCTTTTACAAAACAACAAAATAAATGCACCAGATGAATCCTTTTCCTCAGCTTCCTTTTGCCTTTCCCTTTTGCTTCATCACACGCTTAATTCAGCCAAAGAATTCCATTGCATTCCCCTTTGTGTCCTCATCCTAAGGCGTTTTTTTTTCGTCACACGCTTAATTCAGCCAAGAAATTCCATTGCATTCTCCTTTGCATCCCGAAGGCGTTCCTAAGGCGGTCCTAAGGCGATCCTAGGGCGCTCTGAACGACAATAAGACGGAATTGGGCTCCATACACACGTCTCGAAACGCTTTATATGCTTTATCATGGCTTGAAGACAAAACCGATTGTTATGCGTTCTTATTGTGAACAGATAATACAATGCATAAACTTCCTGTCTTTTCCTCTCTCCGGAATACGTTGTTGGTAGTTCTCAAACTTTAGAAAAACTACATATTTTGTTATTACTTGAATACTTAGATAAGCGCTTTTTTCTTGAGTTTTCATAAACAACGTATACAAGTCAAATTTGTGAAATCCGTAACAGTTAAATTGTTTTACTAGAATAAGAGAGATAGAAAGTTAACTTTCATAAATTAAATATTTCATTACATGTACAATGCTTTATTGCTTCATTTAATTTATAAATTCATTGGAGTTGAGAGAAGGCTATTGGAGCTTCGAGTTAAGCAGAAAATTTCAAGTGACTTGTCAGAGAGTAAGTTGGGCGCCAATAAAAAGGCATTTTGGAAAGTATGGCACTGCCATTAGAGCTCCGAGTCTCAAGTGACTGGTCCAAGTTCTTGAGACACTCGAAACCACGCAACCAAACCAAATGCCACGCGTCACATCTCCGATTTCGATGGCCGATGATTTCATAATACTCACGCTGCCACACCGACGTTGACAATTTTTCGGTTAATGACAGTTTCGCCCTTATCCCCGATATTCTGGACTATTTTTAACCTTACTCGGAATGAGAATGGGAACGGGAATGGGAATGGGGATTGAGATTGGAGCGCCTGTCACGTCCAGGCTGATGTCATTTCGCGGAGTCTGCGGTTTGAGAATGGCAAGGGGTATCCTCAAAGTGGCATCCCTTCGATGAGTTTTCCCGGGACGGGAAAAAGCGTAGGAGGAGGGGGTTTTGGGGCTGCATCTACAGCCTTGACATGATTCGCCCTGACATGTGGTGGGAGGTGGTCTGCAGGACTGATTGACCAAGAGAACGTGCGAGTCCATTGTTGGCCAACTTTTCTATACTCTTACACATACGAAAACAAATTTAACAAAACACATTGTATGTTAAAACTATATACAAAGGATTTGTTTTCAAAAGTGTGTATAATTTAGCTCTATTTTGAGATTTAAATACAAATAGAGTATGTAGTTCATTGGTCGAATTTATACAATTACATTAAGAAATTCTTGACTTTTTTTGCATGAAGGAAAGCCTGTCCATTAAGTGAAATTAATTTGTGATGAATGCACTGATGATGCTTGAATTGTATGTTGATTGAGACTGTGCCTCGCGTTTTTTAACTCCACCCCCCCCATTTTGCCTCTGGCCTTGGGCCAACTTCCACGTGGCGCCTTACCGAGGGATTCGCATGCCAAGTGCGCTATATTGGCATTCTTTGGACCGCCCACGGGAAAAATGTGGCCACCTTAAGAGCCCCCAACACCCGACAATAGCTCACTACTCCCACCGCCACTGACGTCAATGGGGATTTGCAATTTGTGATTGGGGAGGCACTTTAAAGTATTTGTGCTTTGACATTCAATTTACTCGATCTGGGTTTGTTTGCCATCTCAGTTGGTCTTCATTGGCATCCCGCCTCCTTTGGCCCGATTAGTTCGCCAGCGGCAAGGTCATGAGCCAACAAAGAGAAGGCCACACCGGGTTGACTGACTGACTTTAACCCGAAATCTGCGAAGGTCCGGAGGGAGTCGCCATGACTTGATTATTGTGAATCAAAGGAGGGGATGCATTAACTATGAAGCCATCTAGTTAACCCAACATAAATCATCTTTATACTGATGTGAAGAAAACTTAAGGACAGTGGCAATAAAGTTACACTTGGATGTCCCTGAATGGGGATTTCACTTTTTAATAAACCTTGCCTTCGTTCTAATGAGATTAGCCTTGAAACTCTTCTACACACAACAGTCCTTGGATAAATAATCCTTCCCTCGTCATCCTTACTGCCATGGCAACTAATGTTTTTCCCACTTCCCCGTGCCTTCCACTGACAGAAAACACAATCCAGGATGTCGGACCAGCAGAAAGCCTCCCTCTGTCCCCGTTTGGTGGATTACATGGCCATAGTGGGTGCACATACGACGCCACCGATGCCAAAAGGACTGCAGGGCCTCAAGGCCCCGCCAGTACAGGTAAGTCGGTCATTGATTATATTGGTAGTTTGATTTATTTACTGTGGACTACTGTAAAGAGGGCATAATTCACTTATGCGAAATGGAAAGGTGGAAAGTGCTTGTGAGTTTAATTTATTTAATGTTTAAAAGTATACATTAAAGCAGCCTGAATAGTGTTTTAAAATGAATAAATAAAAAAACAATTGTTTGTAAAGGCAATCAAGTAGTTAAAAGTATTTAGGTTTAAAATAAAAAATTATACAATAAATAAGCTGTTTTATAAAGGTTGAAATCAAGAGTAATCTTTATTAAAGCATACTATTTGACACCGAAGACATTGTTTTCCAAATTCCAAATTACATTTTTTGTGTGATTTATGTATATAACTTTTGGACTTATTGAAAATATAAAAATTTAAGGGAACACAATTATTATTTCCAAACGCTTAAAAACTAAGTCAACTTTTTAGCATGAATTGGATTTGAAGGTTCTTTACAGTTTCCCAAATGCGAATGATTGTTGTATACATTATTTAATTATTTATTTTAAAAGGTGCCCGATCTTCTGCGTCGCTATCCCCCATCGGATCATGCCGACTTCCCGCTGCCCCTGGACATGGTGTACTTCTGCCAGCCAGAGGGGTGCACCAGCGTGGGTCCACGACGCACTGGCTCCGCCATCCGGGATATGACCTCCTTCGTCTTTGCGCTGACCGACAAGGATTCGGGCAAGACGCGATATGGCATATGCGTGAACTTCTACCGGCCCATCGAGCGACCCAGTTCGGTTTCCGGTTCGGCGGGAGCTGGCCACGATCGTTCGGGAAACGGAGGACCCGGCGGACATGGAGGCGGCGGTGGAGGGGGAGCAGGCGGAGCCGGAGGCGGTGGGCGCGGGGGAAGGCGGTCGTCAGCCTTCAGGCGAGAATCCTGGCGCAAGAGCATGGAACGCAGTTCGGATTCGGCATTTAGCAGGCAAGTGTTGTGTGCCGTGATGTGGGATTATATACAGGGGTGCTCTAAGCTGCATTATGGTGTTATTTTTATATCAAAATGTACACTGAGAGAATGGAAAATGTTTGTTTTGTACGGAAAAAGATTACTCCTTTTACCGACATCTTTACCATCTTTCTTGTCAGTGGGCAATTCCAAAAAGGCAAGAGCACCCCTGCCTTAGACAAATTAAAACCTCTCCCTATGTTAAAGCCCGTCGTCTAACGCATCTCAAACCATTTCCATAATAGTTACGGCCTCTTAACTTCTTCTAGCGACTACAGAAGTAACGTAGCGCCTAGCGATTCGGACCGTGAACTGACCTCGCGTCGCGACTCGGACCAACAGCGCCTCCACTCGCAGCACCACTCGCATCAATCGCACCACCAGTCGCACCACCAGCCGCACCACCCGTCGGCGGGTCCGGCGGTGCCCAAGCTGGGCCTGATGGCCCCGTCGGCGGACTCCGAGTCCGGTGGCAGCCACTCCCCATCGCCGCGCGCCTCCCGGAAAAGGACGAAGCTGCGCAACCAGTCGCTCACCTCGCTGTGCATCATCTCGCACCATCCGTTCTTCACCACATTCCGCGAATGCCTCTTCATCCTGAAGAAGCTGATCGATGCCTGCAATGAGTCCTCGTCGCCAAAACGAGTGGGTGCCTCCCAGAAGATCAACCGGGATAATGTGTGGACCGTGCTGACGGGCCATGTCAGCGATGCCACGCCCTCAATTGTCTTGCACGATGTGAGGGAAATCGAAACATGGATCCTTCGACTGCTGTCCACGCCGGTTCCGGTGCCGGGATCCACACGAGTCGAGGTGAGTGGTCATGATTCATATTTTTAAATAAGATCATAAAAGTCATAATTTTCAAAGTTAAGTCTAACATAAATGGTAATCAAACAATATCTATTACTTTAAAGTCGTATAGACTATCAAAGGAATATTAGACGCAGAAGTCAGATAATTAAAGTATTTTAATAACTCACTAAAACCTCTATAAAAAATGTTGCAATTGAAATAGAAAACTAGGCTCTTAAGAGTTATATTCAAGCAAAATGTTTAAAGCAATTATACACAATGTTTTGACAAGGTGATTACAAAATGATCGAATAAGAAATAAATAGCTTAAGAAAAGTGTTAAATTCAAAGTAGACTTTTTACTTTACAAAAGTTTTAGCAGTGGAGGTCTTAAGATAACCGCTTAAAAAATTCGGACCTTTATTTAAATATAAGTTACACAGTGGGAAAGACAATATGTTTTCCTATAAATTAAAGGGGGATGCCACGGAAAAGGAAATGTTTTGAACTCATTTCAAAGAGTGTACAAAAGTATGCAGCAAAAAAATTTCACAATTACTTAAAAAACTTCCTGCGAAACTCTCAAAAGATTAATTACCTGAATTTAAGAATATATAGAATGGACTATTGGAAATTAAAAGACTTGCCACAAAATGTTCTTAACTTTGTTCTCAAGATGGTGTCCCAAGTTGAATGAAATCTCATTCTTCCAGGTGGAGGTGCTGTCGCCAACGGTTCATGAGCCACTGCTCTTCGCGCTGCCCGACCATACCCGTTTTTCGCTGGTGGACTTTCCGCTCCACCTGCCACTAGAGCTCCTCGGCGTGGAGACCTGCCTAAAAGTTTGGACTCTGATCATGCAGGAGAACAAGGTGCTGTTCCAGTCGCGTGACTACAATGCCCTCTCCATGTCGGTGATGGCCTTCGTCACCATGCTATATCCGCTGGAGTACATGTTCCCGGTCATCCCGCTGCTGCCCACTTGCCTCAGTTGTGCGGAGCAATTGCTGCTGGCGCCCACGCCATTTGTTATCGGGGTGCCCGCTTCGTTCCTGGTCTACAAAAAGAACTTCAGGTAGGATTATGTCTTAAATCCCATTTGATTATATTATTTCCATCTAAAAAAGTGGAAAATTTTGTTACAATGGCTAATTGTTGTTTACATTTTATATTTTTAGGTTACCAGATGACATTTGGGTGGTTGACTTGGACTCCACCAAACTTACGCCACCCACTGGTGGTTACGAGGAAATACCACCGCTACCTGAGCCCGAGGGCACCATTCTAAAGAACCACCTTAAGCAGGTAAGCCACAGACCCTCGTCCCTGATCCCGTGTATATAAATTGATCTTAAAAAACGATGGACGCATTCGAAAACTAATTTTCTGAAGTTTGGAAATTCATAAACATTAGAAAGCTAGGATTTTTTAAAGTGTTTCCGTCGAGGAATGTTATTAAGGACAAGTAAAGCTGCATTCGTATTATGATTTTTGGCACAATTTAATTTGACACATGCTAAACGATAATGGGAATGCCAACATTTGACTTGACGGCTTAATGCATATTGTCCAGAATAAGCTGACAGTTCTTGAGAAGATTGCGACATTGGTCGTAGAGTGCGGTGTCCAGCTGGCGCATCTCCTGCTCTTTGTCGTTGTCGAAGAAGCGATTCAGCTTGTCCACTTCGTTGCGCATTTTGAATACGATGTCAGGCACCATCACCTGGGCCTTCTTGACCACCTGCTCCTGCACATGCAGACGCCGCTCGGTAACTCCCTCGCTGCGAAAGCGCTCCAGGCGTTGCAGCTCCAGCTCCCGTTCGTGGTCAAAGTGGGCCTTCTGCTGCTGCAGGTGCTCCAGCACGGCCCGGTGGACGATCATCTGCTCCACTCGCGGATCCGATCGGGTGGTATCCGATGGGCGGCGCTGGAAACGCAGCTTGACCGGGTGACGGGAGTCGTTGGCCTGCACGCCCGATAGAAGGGCAATGTGGGGACTGTACATGGCTTTACTAATAAATATATGTATGCGACGACTTCGGACTAATGACAGCTACTGAATTTTGCTATACAAACAAACTGTATTGTGTTTTGACTAGCCACACAAAGCCTTTTGATTCAATAGGGTTTCAAAGAAAAAACAAACAACTTTTGTCGAGTTTTTAAAGTAGCGCGCAAACAGGGACACTGGCTAACCACCAATTTACATTTTGCGGTCTATACTCAGAAAACTTTAAATAGACTTGAAAGAATAAAATGAAACTACCACTTTATCTTTGTCGAATTCTTTTAGTGGCGCCCGAGCAGGGACTCAGGAAAGCCCTACCATTTTATCGTAGAAATATTAAAAGGGACAAAAAAATAAATTGCAATTTATAGAACTCTTTTTATTAGGAATTTATACAATTGTTTTTTTTCTCTTTTAAGGAGTATAATTTTGTGAGATAAGTGAATTTCCATAATTTCAGAAACGTGCTTTTCTTTACCGGTGTTCATTTTTAATCACTGCTAAGCCGTTCCCATTCAATAAACGCTATGAATTCGCCTGTAAAAAAAACTGACTCAAGGCCAGAGTCTCTTTTCCATGTCTATTTAACCGATGCCACCTAAAAATGTGCCTGCTCTTAGGGAGAATTACCTAGAGCAGTAGCTATTGTAATCGCTGTCATATAATCCTTATCATTGCTCCATTTAATTTTGGTGTGTGACTGTTTTAATTCGAATAATATATATAAATATCTTTGGAGTTCTTTGTTCTGTAACAAAGCAAATATCAAGAGAGCACCTCAGCGATATTTTGTTTTTTATTTAATTTTTAACCCCATCGAAAAACTCTTCGAACACTTGTACATCTCTCTATCTCTCTCTTTCTTTCTTTGTGTTTTTTTTTGTGTACCCACTGCCTCTCTTTCTGCCTATCGATGTGTGTCCATCTCTGTCTCTACTCTAATGCTATTCTTTTGACACTCATGCATTATCTGTTATATGAAATTTGTTATACTCGATCACAACTTTAACTACAACAACAACTACTACTACTACTACAACAACAACAACAACAAATCGAATAACAACAACAACAATATCTGCAGGCAATGCTATTGATGGATGAAGCTGGACTTGGTGTAAATATCGTTCGCAAAAGTGTTAACTACGTTTGACTTATTGTTTATCGCTATATTTGAGTTGAAAGCGTTTGTACATACTTTACATAATTCATAAATAATATACTAACTATATGTGAATATCCGTAAACGAAAGAAGTACTCGACATAGAACATAGAACTAACCGCATGCACAGTCATTCTACATAGACATAACGGCCTACTCTTGATGCTGAAGTTTTGTCTGAAGCGAATCTCTAAAAAGGGTTTCCATTTAGCTAGGTTACCTTTTGTCCAAGGGTAGAAAATTTCGTATTTTCCATTCGAAGTTTCTATCACTTTCTCTACCTATCTATCGCTGTCTTATAGTGTTACGTGTTTCGTGTGCATGCCCTGTCAGTCTCTCTTTCTCCCCCGTTTTCCAACTTTTATAAATAACTAACTGAAGTGGCCTTAAGCCCCCCAAAAAGCTTTCCGATAATCCCCACCACCCCAATCTTATATATAGTTAGCCAAGTTAAAGTCCTCATTTAGATGGCCAGATTGATAGTTAACCCTGCTAATTGCTTTTAATCGACTGTTCCACAGGCACTCACCTCCATGACGGCCACCAATACGGCGGTGTCTTCGCAGCAACTGTTGCCATCGGTAAGGGACAGTCTCCAGGAACCACCGTTGCTGGGGTAAGTAATCTTATTAGTCAATATTTCGAAATGTATGCAGGTGATTATTGTCTGTTGCTCGTTGTCCGCCATTGATTGTCCGTTGTTGATAGACCGTTGTCCGTTGTTGATTGTCCGTTGATGTCTGTCTGTTTTTGATTGTCCGCTATAGGTTGTCCGTGTTCGTTGTTTATTGTTCGTTTTCGGGTGTTCGCTGTCCGTTCTTCATTGTGCATTGTTCCTTGTCCGTTATTCGTTGTCCGCCTCTGTCCATATCTTTTGGTCATTGCACTTTTTTCGTATCTATAAGTTTTGTCCTTGGCTGTTTATCTATCAACGCCAGATCAGTCAAACCTATTAGATGACAAAATAGTTTTTCCAATACGTCTGGGTTGAAAGATATTCTTGTCTACACCTCTGCACGTCTTCCTGATTTCCTAACTATACTTTTTTTTAACACTCCAATAGGGTTTCGCAGGTGCGATTGCCACTACAGACACCGCCGCACTCGGCGCAGGCTAGTCAACGAAACTCGATGTCCGCCCAGGGCGGGATGAGCTCCCGGCAGCCAAGTCCGATGAATTCACCGGCCCTCAATCCATTCGTCTATGGCACGGATGTGGATTCCGTGGACGTGGCCACGCGAGTGGCGATGGTGCGGTTTTTCAATGCCCAAAATACGTTGGCCAATTTTGCCGAGCACACGCGCACTTTACGGCTATATCCACGTCCCGTTGTGGCTTTCCAGATAAATAGCTTCCTGCGATCCCGACCGCGAGCGTCACAGTTCCTGAATCAGTTTGCCAGGACTCAGGCGGTGGAGTTCCTGGCGGAGTGGTCTCTTACGCCCACTAATGTGGCCTTTCTGCGAGTTCAAACTGGGGTCATGGATCCCATGCAGGTGGGCGATAAGCCCAAGTGGTTTGCCCACGCCCTTACTCCCATTCGATTTTCGGTCTGGGATGATGGAAGCTCGCTGAATGGAGCTTTACGATCGCTGAAACAACTGGAGTGTCAACCGACGGACGAGAGTGGTTCGGACTCGGAGGGAGCGGATAGTAGCAGCTCCTCGTACAGTTCCCTTAGTGATTTCGTCTCGGAAATGGCCTCCTCGGATCTATCGCCTAGTCTGCATGACGTCTTCGGCTCGTACAATCGGCCGCACGTTGTGCCCCAGACACTTTCCTCGAATCTGGACCCAGCCTTGGTCTATCATCCACCTAGCAAACTGCAATACCCCGAGGGCATTGCCGATGCGGCGGCCAGCAAAGCGGAGGAGGATGAGGAGCGAGCCGATAGTCCGGTGTCCTCATCCTCAAGTCGTTCGGATCTGAGTTCACCGAGCTTCAATCGCGACTCAGAGTTTGATTTCCAGCCCAAGGGGGGACAACAAGCTCTGGGATCGACAGCAGCAGCAGCAGTAGCAGCTGGCGGTGGAGCGAGTGCACCCAGTTTCGAGTTGGCCACTCCGCTGGCCATGCGACTGGAGGCCACCATTAAGATGGCCAGCATCGAACAGGAAGCGGATACGGTATCGGGCAAGATCATGGCCACCGCCTCCAAGCTTCAAAGACATCCTAGTGATTCCGAGAGGCCCGAGAAGAAGATTCCGGTGAGGAGAGCGTTTACATACTACGGAGGAATAAAGGGTGTAATTTTTTTTAACTTGTATTCTTCCAATAAAGCCACCGCTAACACCACCCATTAAACAACCGGGTGTAAGTAACATTCTGGCGCGGACCGGTAGTTCCGGCTCTAGTTCGAGCAGTCCTGGACGCCAGAGTTCCCAGAGCTCCCTCTTCGAGAACTTCGCCTCCCATGCCAAGGAGCTGGTGAGGGAAACCACGCGACAAAGTAGCCAAGAGGGTCTACTGGCCCATGTGGATAAGGTGAGTTCAATTCGGGGAAATCAATCCGTGGGCAGGTTTTTCTAACTCGATGTGCTGTTGTGCTCTGATCGTTGATCTGTTTTTCTTTCCATTCCTTTCTTTCTACGTCGTTTTTGTGGTTTATTTGTTTAAACTTTACCATTGTTTTACTTTTACTCTTTTGTTGGCGGTGTTGCGTTGTTTAATTGAACCTGATATGAATGTACCGTACTGTAGCATGCGCTGGACGAAGATCTTGACGACAAAATGCGTCATACCTTCGAAAAGGTTGGTACTCCCACCGCACTTTCCCATCCCATCCAGAACCGATCCACCCATCACGTTTACATACATCGCCTTTACCTAATAACATTTCTCTAATCATCACACTGCACTCTACACAAACGTATCACTACACTCATTAACTGAATAACGTGAGTTCTTTTCATCGACTTCTAATCTGTTAAGCCACAGGAACATATATTGAAATCACCTATTTAAAAACTGTGCACTTGTTCACTACATTACATACTGATTAATCTGTACACATCACATTGCATGCGAATAAAAATACATAGAACAACTGTTTATCTTTTTTTCTTTATTACGCGATCCTTCCTATTAGTTTTAAGTTTCACAGTGCTTTGTTAAAAACTTCACAGCCCTCTACCTTAGCTTAATGACTTTTTACCACAAAATCCTCCCCAAAACATCCTGCCACATCCACATCCTCACCACACCAATCCGCTGATCTTTTCATGGGATTTGTAGTGCCATTGTAGATTGCTGAAAGTAGACCTCAATCCGGTAACTGATGGGTTGAGGGACTCAAGCTTTGATTGCTAGCACCAACTAGGCGGTTGTGTAGTTTCGGAAACACCCACCTTAAAGCTCAAATACTAATACATATTCATATTTGGAACCGTAGTTTACACTGCACGCGAAGAAGGCGGCCGGAGAGGCTTCGAAGCAGGCTCTGGAGGTTTCCAAGCAGGCGGCTGGGGTGAGCAAGAATACCCTCGAGGATCTCACCTACGTGGGCAAGTCGACGCTGGGAGATCTCACGAAGACGGCCAAGGAGGCGGCCACCAAGAAGGGCATAATCAAGATCGAGGAGCATCCCGCGGCCGTGGCAGTAGCGCCGCCAAAGTCTCCTGGCTCTCAGTTGGCTACCCACAAGCAGGTGCAACAAAGTGGAGGATCGGGTGGCGGCAACAACTTTTTCTCCTCCATTGGCACTGATTTTAATGGTCTAGCCTCCTCCACATCCACCATGTTCTCGGGCATGTTTGGTAAAAGTAAGTTACCAATGAGCTTGAAAGTACTATGAACGAACTTACTTAATCCAAAATGTCATCTGTATATTGCAGAGAACCAGCAAAAGCAGGTTCCTATGCCACACAAGCCAACTAGTGTATCCTCGGGAAAGGGCAAGACAGGCATCAATTTCGATCCGTTTCCCGGACGCAAAGGTCTCGTCGAGCGGACGCCGTTGATCAAGCACTCGGGTCCCAGGCAAACGCAGGAGGAGCTGACCCGTCAGCAAAACCAGGAGCGTTCGCATAGTAATGCCGAGAATCAGACTTTCCTTAAGGACGTCACCAACCAGGTGCTAGCTGGAGAAGGTGTTGGTTGGCTGAAGCTCAACAGGTTCAAGAAGCTCATGGAGGACGAGTCATATCGCACTCTAGTACTCAGTAAGCTCAACAAGACCCTGGACAAGAAGATCGCCCCAGATGATCACATCGACGACGTGGTAGGTTTAATTGTTTTAGTTTTTTATAGTTAGTTATTTAGTTATATAAACTATTAAAATTTTTTTTTTTAATTAAATTTTTTTTTTTTATTATTTGTTAACTTGATTTCCTAGTCCAACAAGTAGATGCTTATAAGTTGTGGCACTGGATATTATATAATTAGGATTTGAAAAATCTTGACATGATGATGGCTTACCCCTCCGATTTTCCTTACAGTGCGTGACGAAGCCCGTGTGGAAGGGCATGCTCAAGTGCGTCCAGGCGATTGCCGGCGGATTGGATGTGACCTTTTCGAATTTCGGTCTGGGCGGTATGGCCTCTGTGTTCCAACTAATGGAGGTGGCACACACGCACTACTGGAGCAAGGAGATCAACGAGGGCAGCGACATGTCCTCCAGCCTGCTCTCCAGCCACGCGGCCAGTCCGATGGGCAGTCGTGAGAATCTGCGGTCGCCCAGCTCGCCAAATGGTTCTCATTCGGCTTTGGGCAGCGAGTGGGCATCACCGCAGGAGTCGCGCAAGAGCTCCACCCAACTGCCACACGGTGGACCGGGTGGTGGCTCTCATCCAGGAGCACCGGTCAACCGGCGCTTGTCTTCGGCGGACAGCCAGGATGGCCAGTCCACGACGGAGATGTTCAAGGATATGCTGTCACAGAAGAGAAGTGCCTTGAAGAACATGCTCACCTCCTTCGATTCGGATGTAAGTTGTGTAGTTTCGTAGTGCCGTACCTAGTCATATTTAGAATCGTCCATCCCATCATGCCGATTGTGCTCAGCTTGTTGCCAAACCAATTCTGTATATCGCTCAGTGTATATATCGTATATCGTATCGTATGTAGAATCGCTTATCAGCATCTCAGTAAAACTAGCTAAATCAGTACCAACTAGCATTTATCAGTGTGTTACATATATATATATATATGTATGTCGCATCGCGAGTGTCAATCGATGTAGTCTGCCGATCTCCCCCCACCGTAACCTCAAATGTATTATCTATATTCGTACCCGCACTCCACCGTCCCACCTACATCCCGTATGTCCAATATACACGATTGTAGAGTTCTCTAACACTCCGTGTGTGTGTGTATGTTATCCGTAGGCTGCTGGCTCTACGGGGGCGCTCTCCGTTGTCAGTTTGGGTGTCCGCTTGCCCTCCAGCTGCCGGTCCACGGTCTCTGACACCGAGTACGAAAATGTAAGTACCCAAGAGGTTCAAAAAACACGGCATTACAAATACATTTTTTTAAAAAAAAATCAAGTTACCATTTAAATTTTTAAAAAAGAATGGATTTAAATCCCATTAAATTATGAATGAGATGTCTGGGTGCAGCTCTTTTAAATCTTCTCAACCCTAGCTAGGAATCGCCTTTCCATGTAAAATATAGGAGCACCATTCCCCGTATTGAGCTGTGTATAAATTTTAAATCAAATTAAGTGAATATCTAGAAAGTCTCTCCCTCTGAAGTCAGGCCTATGAAAAAAAACCCAATCCAATCTAATCCCATATAATTTTCCAGACGACCACCTCGAAGGACTCGAAAAGAAGCTCTGGGAATCTGTGGTCCGGAAAGTCGACGCTAAGTGCCGGATTCCGTTACACTGGCGGGCACCTGATAAACACCTCATCCTCCCCTTCGCCAGACAGTCCGCGGGTGTATCTCTTCGAGGGTCTGCTGGGCAAGGATCGGCTCAATCTTTGGAACCAAATGCAGTTCTGGGAGGATGCCTTCCTGGACGCTGTTAGTCAGGAGAGGGATATGATTGGAATGGACCAGGTAATATCGGTGGATGATGGGAAAGAGATCTTTAACAGTCAAGTTACCACGAAAAAATTCTTTAAAAATATGGCAGATAAATGATAGCTATTAGAGATAGTCATCGATTATGCAATTTTCTTGAATGCAGGGTCCCATTGAGATGATGGAGCGCTACAAATCGCTGAGCGAGTCGGAACGCAAGCGTCTTGAACACGACGAGGACCGCCTGCTATCCACAATGCTCTACAACCTGACGGCCATCCTGGTGATGTTGAACGTGACCAAGGACGAGATCCGACGAAAGATTCGCCGTCTTCTGGGAAAGAGCCACATTGGCTTGGTATATTCCCAGGAGGTGCACAATGTAGTCGATCAGATCAATAATCTGGTAAGTTATCGAGCTGACAAGGTTTTACTCGAATAATGTACAAATTCCTCTTTCCTTTCAGAATGGCAATGACATTGATCTAAAGCCTTTGGGTTCACGACTGCTGCACCGGCAGAGCTTCACCGTCCACCAGGGCACAGATGTGAACGGACCTCTGCGATTCATGGAGGTGCGGGACGATGGCCTGGTACTGCGATCGGTGGATGGCACCATTGTGGAGCGCTGGTGGTACGAGCGCCTGGTCAACATGACCTATTCGCCCAAGACCAAGCTGCTCTGCCTGTGGCGCCGCAATGGTGGTCAGACGCAGTTGCACAAATACTATACGCGGAAGGTAAATGTTCAAGGGAGTTTCCATAGAGTTTCTAGGCGTTTAACCCTACACTATTTCTGTGCGCAGTGCAAGGAGCTATACAACTGCATCAAGGAGGCCATGGAGCGCGGCGGTACGCCCACCAATGTGCCCGAACTGGGTGGTGAATTTCCCGTTCAGGACATGAACACGGGAGAGGGCGGCCTGCTGCAGGTGTGCCTCGAGGGTGTCGGTTTGTTGTTCTCCAACAGCAAGGTGAGTGCTTGCGAAAACTTGCCACATGTCGATCCCCTAACACCAACACTTGGCACACACGAAACATACAACATGGTTACACCCAATACTCATACACAACCAAGCTTCATCTCCGAATGCCTCAAACTACTAGTAATCGTCCTTTTTTTGTGTACACCACTCCTCATCAAGCAAAGTATCTCTATTTCCCAAAACGAATCCCCCCTCCAACCAAATCCTTGATAAGAGTTGAGTACTGATACACTGTTAGCTCATGTAAATCTTTTTAGCCCCCAACATAGTCGAAAGCCGTGACCTTTTTACCTACTTGTTGTGGGTCACAAAACAGCGATTAGATAAGATAAAACAGGTCACCTTAGTGGTGTTGATGGGGCTAACCCAATCAATGGAACACCAGATATATTGAACATGAACAGAACAAAAATAGCAGATACCCGCCTGAATTGGGTCACCAATAACCCACTTGGTGTAGGGGTCACCATTCACTCGAGAGCTACACCCATTTTGATGTCAGGATCAGTCTTTGTCAGATCCAACATGATGGCTATACTCGTACATATGCGCGTGAATCTATCCAGATATCGATACATACTCCCACTGCCTTCGTTTCAGTGTTTCGTTTCCAGTCGTTACGTTTCATTTCCTTTTGGTTCAGTTGTTTTTTTCAGTCTGGCTTTCTTTGGTATTCTTTCCTTACAATATTTTAGTTCGATCGATTTCCAATAATTTCCTTGTTGTGTGTGTGTATCGACTGCATCAAGATCAAGGGCCCTCTCAATATACATATATATGTATAAATATATATAAATTATGTTTGGTTTTCAGTTCATGCTTTTCCAAAATGTCTAACCTATGCAATCGTAATGTGAATGATCCAGAGACACCGATTTTCAGGAGACTTAGGTCCGCCCCAAAGTTTATAAGCGAATTTAAAACTGAGTAGCAGAATATACATGGACGTGTATATTCCAGGCCAAGAAGTGCTGGATATTGTATTTCATCGCCGCCTGTAACCGTTTCTTTTCGGGTCTTTTCTTTTGTTATCCCCAACCGGAACCCAGCTCCACCTATCCAACTATCCAAGCTAAACCCAACTACGTATTATACTTTACCAAATTTCTATCTCTCTCTCTCTCTCTTTATCTGTCTGTATCGCTCAAACTCTTTCGTTTTTTTGGCTTTGGTTTTGGCATTTTATTTTGACTCGCCTTCTTATATATCTACTTATATTATTCCTAAGTCATTATATAATCCATAATAAATTGAAAAATCAATTGAATCTTTTATCTTATTCAATTTCTATTCGATCAAGTGAAAGTATATATGAACAAATAAATATATATATGCAGAAAAAAACCATCTATATCATACTCATATATTGTGCTAGTGAATGTACTGAATGCTGTATTCATTATACTCTCTATTTTATTTATTACCTAACCGATTCAATGATAACGCCATCAAAACCAATAGAAAAAGAAAAATAAGAAATTACCGATTCTCCTTTTCATCCCTTTTGATTACGATTGACATTCTTACGTTTGGTTACTTATACTCACCGTTTGATATGTTGATATTGTCATCTGAACCTCATTTTGATTGTCTTGATTATCGATTACTCTGACTACCAATTACCGATTTACGATTACCGATTAGTATCGTTCGTAATAGTATTCCATAGAAAACTAAATCGATCTTTGTATGTACCCCTGAAACACCCAAGACAAAAGTGTCCCAAGAAAAACTATAAAAACAAGAAACTAATCTGACTCGATTAGGTCTCAAGAAAATTGTTGGAGTCCAGCAACTTTCTTCTTTCATAACCTTGGCAAAGTTAATAGTTTAACTGTAAATATATAGCGTTTCTTTCTCCATTTCATCTGGGGCACTGCGACTCAGTGGTCAATTGGGTTAAGACTAAAATGTATTGTTCGTTTTTATTTTTCGTTTTGCTCATTTGCCTTCTATTAACCTTTCGAAGCTCATACTTAAAAAGAAAATTTAAAACTCTTCATATATATTCATATATATGAGAAAGAAAAAGCTAAACAACGAAAGAAATAATGCGAAAAAAGATAAATGCGAAAATTCTAAGCTAGTAACTTTTGAGATGGTCCTTGTGCAAAATCCTCTAAAGTGCTTTGTTTGTTTCATTTTGAGTTTAATTTCGATTTTCATTATTTGATTTCCTAGTTTCCTGTCTATTCCTATAAACATATATGCGTATATACATATATAAATAACTTCTTCTCTATATATTATATAAATATATATATCTGTCTCTGTCTGTCTCTCTTCTGACACCTAACTTTACCTCTTTTCTGTGTTACAAATGCGATATATAAGAAGTTTTTTCGTGAGCTCAGAGTTTTCTGTCTTTCGCCATATTCAGTTTCAGTTTTATTGTTCCATTTCTTTCCATTTCGATTCGATTGCGTTCTTATTTTCCGTTTCACTTTTTGATAGTGACTTCATGCCAAATTGTTTCTCTTAAGTATAATAACCAAAAACAACAACAAGTACAAACAACAAATGTAATTTAAGCTATAGTCCTACCATGTCCTACCCATGATATATATCACAGTTATAATGCCGATAAACCGAAACCGATACCAAAAAAACGAAATTGAAAGCCCCAAAAATGTCCCACCGTCTATAAGCAACCGACTCTAACATAACAACAACAGCAACAACAACCACATTTCATATCGTTTCTATTTAGTATTATACAAAAAAAAAAAAAAAAAAAAAAAAAAAAAACAAATTTGACAGCAAATTAGAAATTGAACAGAAAATAAAATGCAACTAAAACATTTGAATGAACAGTTTAAAAACCCGTTTTCTCAACTTTCCTTTTTATAATTTTCTTTGTTGTTTGTTTGATGTTCTCTGTCGAACGCGGATCGCTGCACCGTTGCTCGCTCTCCCTCCTTTGTGGACCAACCAAAAATCACGTTCCGTATCCGGAACGAACCGAACCGAATTGAATTGTATTATTCCAATGATTGGTCTACTTCTCAAACGAAAACGAAAAACCCAAAAAAAAAAATACCAAACAAAAACAAACCAAATCAATAATATAACCCAAAATCTATGATAAAACGATCTGAAAATGTCTGAAAAAACGATAAAGGATTTCGAGGTATTGCAATGAACAAATTTCTTGTTATATTTGAACTTAAATTTATAAGCAACTATTGTTCTTTAAATGCCCTGCTATCCTCCACTCAACCACAACCCCATTCCCAATCCGCCGTCCTCTTCCTTATCCACCCACTAACCCACCCACCCTCTTGGCCGTCACATAAAATAAAAGAAAATTATAAAATATATTTTAGTTTGCGTTGCTCTTCAGTTTTAACTTGGACTCTTTTGCGTTCATAACACTTGATTTAATCCTTCACTTTCACCCAACCCAAAAAAAATAAAAGTAAATACCAAAAAAGTATACAAAATATTCTGATATGGCATTTAACAGCTAACAAAAAAAATAACTGTAGTTAATATTAAATTTAAACCTTAAGCCGAAAATAATATATATATAATAATGTATATTATTTACCGTTATCTTTTGTGTTATGATCTCTCACTGACTCTCTAACCCAACTGAGATTTTCGTTTTGAACTGTTGGTTGATTGATTTGTTGGTTGGTTAGTTGGTTTGTTTGTTGAATTGAACTTGATTGAATTGAATTGAAACTGAGCCGTACACTTTGTATACCTTAATGCAGTTTACCGATTTTCGATTGTTGATTACTGTTATTGATTAACGTTAATCTTACCAGCTTATCATTTGTGCCCCCAGTTCTCGACACTTTTTCGATTCGTTCTCATTTCGAGCCACCAGCTGTTTTCTTTTTAATTTCGGAGTTCGCCAGCACGCACACTAGACGTCCAAAACATAGATGGTCACACTTTTCGCCCAAAACCATAGATGGTCACACTGTGGTAAAAAGAACTCCAGACTTCGAACTAAAGCATGCCCATGCACTATCAACACCTCAAGTGCAATCACTTTACAGTCCTTGCCCAGGACGGCACCAAAGTTCACCGCAGCTTACCATAACTCACTACACTTGTCTGTCCGAACATTCCTTGAAGAAGTTAAAAACCAATTAAATCAAACACATTCACGTATTCAATTGTGTGATAAGTTTTACAGCAATTTTAAAACCAATCACCAGCTCAGAACTTTTAATATACACATGTCATATTATTTTGTTTTATCACTTTTCGTTCTATTCCGCTAAGTTTCGTATCGTTTTGTTTCGTTGGTTGCGGCCTAAGTTAGATGGACCTTTCACTTGGAGGGAAAGCAGCCCCATAATCTCTTAGACTAACCCCCTGAAAATGGTTAAGGGTTCGTTTTTCAGTGATCTCCAATAGATTTCCCTTTGGGAATAGAAAATTGGAAAAAAAAAAAAAAACTAAACTGTTGATCACAAGAAATTATTAACGAACCCTGTATCCGAACTCCTTTGTTTTTTATGCTTCGTTCTATTTTTTTATAGTGTGCCAGACAATTCACCGATTTACCAACAATAGACCAATAAAGTTTCCTTAGTGTTGATTTTGAGTTTGCTTGTGTAGAGTTACTTGTTTAGCAAAGATTTAAACACCAATCGTAGTTGTAGATTACTAATTAAGAAATTAAAGGAAAGTATTAAATAAAACGTCAAACAAAAAAAGTAATTGAAACCGTATGCCTAGCGGAAAAATACCCACTTAGCAAACCCATAAACATATTATATTTGTAAGCTGAAGAATCCACAAATGCTGGAGTTTTCTTTTCAATATCTATAAGCTATCGCTATCAGTCTGGCTCTCCTGCCTTTCTTTCCCATTCTCTCGCTCTCTATCTGTTTCTATTTCACTGATTTTCCGCCTGTCTCTACCTCTGTTTGCCTTTTGTTTCGTTATACTTTTGATATTGAGCCAACTTAAGGAAAGCAACTTAGCTTAGAGTAAAGTGAATAAATAACGATTCTTTTCCGTCATATCCACTGTTTTTTTTTGTGGTAGTGCCACATGCTGCATGCTGTTACATGTGTTTCTCCCCTATTCCCATATCTTCCCATTCCCAACCGGCTCCCATTAACCCTCTTAAAATCACAACAGAGACAAGGACAAACGATTTGTGAAGAGACTGTTACCAACGATCTCCACCATTTTCTCTTCACTGCTTTTCAGGGAATAAGAGGGTGGCCTAAAAGCGGTTCCATTGCCAAATGTTCCCGACATGTACCGCATTAGAAACCTCTTTTGCTAGAACCCCTTTATAAACAAATCAAATATTTGGTTAACATAATTTTCTTTAGTGTTTTACCTTTTTATATACTAACAACTTCTTTAGAGAAGTACACACACTCGGACACCGAACACTGTAGCTTAATTTAGTTGTTTTGCGTTTGTATTAGTGCGAATTGGGGTTGATCAGGTGAACAACTCTCGTAAATATATACCAATAATTTATGCCTAGAACCAACGCCTTCGTATCCGAATTCCAAGCTAACTAGTAAACGACCATCTCACAAGTGCTAATTAGAATCCCCTTTTCCCCAAATGAAAAATTGACTTATACAAATTTCAAAAAATTACAAAAATTAAAGTCAAGTAAACCAAACTAATTACCAAACTTTAATTTGATTTTGCTGCATTCTCTTTCTGTCTTCTGTTGCATTTTTAATTTTAACTTGCCATTCCGTTTCTTTTTATTTAACGTTCCGATTTCGTTTGGTTCTGTTTTTAATCCTGAGCACTTATCACCTCTAAAAGCACTTGATGCGTGCCGTGTATATAAATGAATGTCGTTAACTGTACTTAGTGTCCTTGTCTTGCTGCCCGCCCCCAATAGATCAATATAAGTGACCCAAGCGCTTGCGTAGCATTTAGCTTTTGTTTGCCTGCCCGTCTGCCTGCTTATGTTCGTTTCGTTTCGTTGGGTTGGTAACTGTACGTTTGGCCATACACCTAAATAGAAAATTTAAAAAAAAAAAAAAAAAAAACATGGACTACTTCTTGCAGAATCCAAAAACGTTCCCCCTGCTTTAATTTGTTATACCTTACTGCCCACGCGTATACGCTATCACTTTCCGCCCTCCAACTATTTACCATAACGCCCGATCTGCCTATCAACCAGTCTCTTCCTCTGTTTAACAGCGTTTTGTGTGAAAGCTTTTTGGTTTGGACCGCCTTATGAGTTGCATTCCGTTATCGTTCTGTTTAGTTGCGTTACGTTTAGCTTGATTTCGTTTCGTTCCGTTCCCCTTCCGTTATGTTCAATTCTTGCGCTCCGTTCCGTGACGGAGCCTTGAAGCCGAAGAAAGAAAGGTGTCGGCTGGCATTGAAACTTAACTGACTCTCTTCTCCGCCCGTAATTTCAGTTCTTCGTGCGTTTGGACCATATCCGCAAGTGCTTCACCCAGAAGGGCGGCATCTTTGTGCTGGAGGAGTACAGTAAGTACTGTATAACTAGTGGCATTCAGTTACTACGTTGAACTCGAGTAACTCCCTTGTTTTTCTCCCTCTTGCAGATCCCAAGACGCGCAATCTTATCCAGCGGAAGTACCAGTCGAGCATGGTGAGTACAATTAAAAACCCAAAATCCACCACTGATCGCCACCACAGCCATTCAGCACTGTTCACCACTTGTTCCGAGTTGCATCCCGTTCCGTTCCGGAACTATCGTCTATCGATTAACTGTACATAAACTTGCTTAAGCCTGCCAAGTTATGCAAATTTCTGTACATCGTAATCAACTGTGACCGCCAACCCATCTCTATATGTATATGTATGAACATATCTTTGTGGAGATTCCCAAACTTTTTTACCACTGTATGATATCGCACACTCAATTGCACCGACAGTTTGTATATACGATATTGAGATAATCTCTTTGATTTCGATTTTTCCTTTTCTTTCCTTTCGTTTTCGTTTACCATTTGGTTCTTTGCATTCGTTATTTGTGAATATATTTCTATGTCAACGACAACTCAACTACTCAACAACAAACAATGCCTGCAACAACAACACACAAACCACCAACAACACCACTCATATATCATCAAAAAATATACAAACAAAACAAACAAATAACCCTACCGAAATATAACCTTCACCAATTGAATATAAAACTGTAACCGAAAAACAAAAATGTGTAATTGAAACCCAAGGCGTCGGAAATTGTCCTGAGCTTTCATCGCGTGACCTCCGTGCAGTTTGCCTACATCTGTCACCTGAATGGCCTCCGAGGTACAGTCGCCGACAAAAGCATAGCTGGAAAGATGGAACCGGCGGAGATACCTAGGCCCATGGAAACGCTGGAAAAGGTGGACCGTCAACCGATGGCGGGAGCGATTAAATAATGTGCCTAAAAATGAAATTTATGTAAATAAAATCAAGAATCCTTTTTATGTAACTCCTATGTATGTATGTACTTCCTGCAACATCTAAAAAAAACACCACAACAACAATCAAAACATAGACAACAAAGATATTTTTTTTTTGTTCTGGCTTATTGTGACAGTATTTTTTTACCATATATATATGTTCCGTTTCTTTTTCCTATATTTTATCTTGAGTTTTGGTTGTTGTCGTTCCACTTAACATGTTGCAAAATTGCATGCTATTTTTCTTCTGCCATTCTGCCTTGTAGTGTTGTGCAAGCACCATTAAAAAAAAAAAAAAAAAAAAAAACACCCAAATGTCCACACACTTCACACGAAAAACACTGTTCATTCAGAAGACACAAGCAAGTGTTTATGGTAGCAGCTATTTAAAATTACGTATACGCTCCGTAGTCCGATCAGATTTGCTACTCGGTGCTGTGCGTTTTCTCCTACGTGGCCGCCGGTCAGGATCAGAAGAAGAACCCGGTTGTTATAACGCCGCAAATCCAGGACATCCATGCCCAGCAAAAGCAGAAGCAACAGCAGCAGCAACAGCATCAGCAGCAGCATCAGCAGCAACATCAGGCACCGCAGCAACATCAGGCACCGCAGCAACATCAGGCATCGCCAGTGCCGACAGGAAGTGCCCCAGCGGCTCAGGCCAATCCCAGCCGAATGATGAGTGGCAAATCCCAGCCAGGCAGCATCACCATCCGCCACACGGTGCCCATGCAGAAGCCCACCATCACCATGTCCACGGTGCAGCCGCAGGCCAGGATGCCCGTCCAAGTGGCCACAGCTGCTCCAGCAGCTGCTCCGGTGCCGGTGCCAATGCCAGTGCCAGTTTCAGTTGTAGTTCCCGTGCCAGGAGCCCATTCCTCGCCCAATCCCGGCAATCTGCCGCAGCTGCCGCCGCGTGTACCATCGCAGCCATCCACTGAGAGCCTGGCCTCGATCTCGTCACCGCCGCCAAAGCTAAGGACTGCGATGACCGCTCCACCGGGACCGCCGCCGGCCATACCGCCACGCACGGGGGCCATCGCCCGGAGCGGATCGGTTCCGGCGGCCCGTTCCTTTGTCCGCCAGGCGTCGGCGAATTCCACGCCGCCGCAGTATACGCCACAGCCGCCGCCGCCCTTTGTGATCCCCAAGCGGCACGGTGGACTGGCCAGGGCCTCCACTTTGGCATCGGGGTCAGCGGGGTCAACGGGGACAGCGGGGTCCGCCTCCAATCATCCCGGGCATTCGCAGTCGCAGCAGCGCGCCAGCCACGGCAGCGTCGCCGCTGTGCTGCAGTCCATGCCGGAGGCTGAGCCCGGATACGGGTCCGGATCCGGATCCGGGTCGATTTCCGGCTCCAGTTCCGGCTCCGGTTCGGCATCGGGCTCCATTGCCAGCGCTTCACCGCAGGCCCATCGCAAGCACTGACGAAGGAGTTCGTTCTTCAGGTTTGGAGGAGGAGGAGGAGGAGGCGGAGCAGGTGGTGGTGGCGGAGGTGTCGGAGGTGGAGGCGGAGCAGGGTCCAATCCAGGATCAGGCGGCGGCGGTGGCGGCGGTCAAACGGGCGAGGAGCCGCACCCACATCCCCATCGTCGCGATGTCTGCCGCACCATCTGCATACCCTGGCTGTGATCCCGGCAGTCGCCCGACTAAAGCGGTTCAGCCATCTGTAAAGGGCTTTCCGGATCCCTGCACCCATCAAGACAGCCAGTAAATCAAGAACACTACCACGTTTGTGCGCTCGATGCAAATACAGCGAACTTCTAGAACTTAAGAACTTGATGACCTCTCAACAAGAAAGAAAGCAAACCAGCTATTCCGAAAATTAAGTATTCTATGAAACGACTTAAAACAATAAAGCTATGTCGATTTTCCGTTGGATTTTGCGGTCATTCCTATGGCAGCCTTATAATGTCGTTGTCCGATTTTGATGAAGCTAATACCGTAAATCTGAAACAGTTAACCACTACCACATCTTGGAATATATTTTAAAAAAGTGGTGCCATATAATACCATTTCTAACAAAGCCCAAAATAAACACCATCAAATATTAAAACTTTAAAATGCGAACTTTTCATAAAATTTCGAAATAAATAAAAAAGATTTTAAGTCATTGAGGCTTTAGAAATTCGCAAAACAAATTTACAAATTTGTACTTTCAAATACAAACCAGTCTAGAAACGAAATAAAATGTCTTTAAACATTAAAGCTTTCGAAATTGGAACAACAAAGTTCATACTTTTCAAAAAACCATACTTTCTATTGATATATTTGTTTATTGAGTTATCTGAAAACAAGAATGAATGTTCGAATCCATGGAATTAAACCGCTTAGAAACAACATTAAATTGAAATTATAAAAAGCCCTTTGAAGTTCCTTATTCCTTTGTTTTCAAGAAATACTTGCCTCTAAGGTTAAAAAATTGTGAGCAAATCAAGTTAAAGAAAGTAACGTTCTGCTGTCTGTTTGTAAATATAGGATGTCTACTAATCAGTAGTATTAGCAGATCAAATAGTAAATCTTGCGCAAAAACGTAGGTATAAAGCCCCCAAAAATTTCAGCCAAAGTTGCAGTTTCCCCAGCCTTCCTCTTCTTTTTCAGGGATCCCGAAAGTCCCGTGACCATCCAGTTATACTATATATATATACAGATGTATTGTATTTGAGCTATATTTACTGAATCTTATTCTAGCCAAATCATATCATTAGCCGCCTCTAACTAAGTCCCTAGACGAATTGTTTCCTGCTAAGCTTTAAGGCAGAAGCGCCAAACACCAAAAACAAAGAAAAACTCGCTTACACCAAACTATATAGATAATGACAAATATATATATATATATACACAGATCGGGACTTGACTTCATTGAGGGCCCAGTGAAAAGGGCACAAACAAACGAAACACAAACAGTAATTGAAGGCAATCTAGTTAGGGATATAGTATTCCATATACCATACCAACTAAATACGAATACTAATAATACAAACAAACATATATGTGAATATCAACTACGATCATACAAGCATCTAACAAAAGTAAATATACATATATATTTGTGGTAAAGGAATTTAACTAGTTGTACACAAGAAGTCAAGTGAAGGTATTGGAGTGAAAGTGATCTTAAGTTGAGATCGGATGGGATCGTTAGTAGGTTAAGGAATTGTCAGGGAACATGAGCACGGATCAGATGGAGAGTTTTGGGTTTACGGGGACTCTGAGGAGAGCAATAAGTAAATGTCTGTGTATGTAGTTTTGTAGGGAACGTGAGATCGGCGTACACACACAATATATATATACATATACATATAACTATTTTTTTGTTTGCTGGTTCTGGATGTTAACCATAAAATAAAGCCCAGCATCTATATACATGCACACATATAAAATTTATATATATATAAATATATATATATATATACCTCTCTAACCGTGTATATATGTATATGATCGATTGTATTTTTCAAAGTTCAAAGCAAAAAATAAACAAAACAAAAAAAAAAATGCAAAAAAAATATATATATTCCAAGTTTTTATATTCTATATGGCAAGGTCCCGTAAGTGATAACAAGAAGGCCCCCAGCAGATGTTTTCAATTGTTTACTTTAAATTATTTAGTTTAACTTAATCTAGACATGGGGGGGCCTACGAAACTAGTGATTACAAAATGTGGCGATAATGGCATTATGCTGAGGTTCCGTTCTCATCGCGTGGCAGAATCCGAAGTCTGATTCCATTGCCACTCTTAGTCACCAATTCGGCCAAAGGTCTTGGCTGGTGATCCTCATCGGGCAAAAAGCGATAACTTCGCAGCAGAGTGGACAGCGAGGTCTTCAGCTCCAGCATGGCAAACTTCTGGCCTAAATGGTTCAAATAAAGTAAAACAACTAAATTAGAGCAAGTTTAAGGATCGAAGGAAGTGGGTAGGTACATTATGTTCTCGCAATTCAAGTTGCGCAATTCCCCAAGCTTATCACTGCAAAAGTGTTTTTCTAAATGAAATCCGATTGAACTTTGATTCGTGACGATCTAGTGCTTTGTGCTGAATGGACAGATGTTTACTTAATTTTAGTTCTTGATTATTTTATGTTGAGCTAGAACAAAGCTAAAATAAATCAATTTATTTAACTACTATAACTATTTAAATTATAAATCAATAAAAGTACATATTAAAATTATTGTACATATTAAATTCATTTGGCTAAGTAGGTTTGGAAGGCTTTAAGGCTTTAAGCTTAATCTAAATACTCAATATCTAAATAAATTGTACAAATAAATCCACTAATACACTAAATTTAAAGTAAATCTGAGAATTTGTTTATTGGCAACCTAAAAACCCAATCTTATCAATTGTTTTAATTATCAAATATTTTGAAAGTTATCTGCTGGATGACTTTTGAACTATTTAAATTTAAAAATTGAAATCGCAATTTGCTAATTATATTTTTGGCCTTAGAAAGTTCACTGAAATTTTTCTCTCTGTCTATTTTTGGAAGCAAAACAATCATAAACGCTTATCTTATAGCATTGTTGACAAAATGGACCGGTGTTCGGATTGACGTGGAACGTTATCAAAAACTATGGAAAATGCGAACTGTGAAAGCAAGTCGCTTTTTTTGACGAATTATTTTTAAGGGGCGTGTTGTGTTTTTGTTGAATTTTTGGGTTTTTTTTAAAGTAAACTATTTATTTTGTTGTTTTAAAGCATCCTTTCTCTTTCTCTCGATAACTTTTCAAACAATCAAAATATAGCCTTGATATGTTTAAATGATTTCGAGGCAATTAAAGTATCGTTTATTACACGGATATTTCTGTTTTTCTTGGATGATGTTTGCAGAGTGATCTTACCTATGCAATTCCTGGGTCCAGCGCTGAAAGCTGCGAAGGCGAATGGATGCATTTGCTTTTCGTTGAGCAGGAAGCGATCGGGATCGAAGCGCTCGGGATCGGGAAAGTTGTTGGGATCGCGGTGGAGCATGTAGATGAGGCAGCTGATTGAGGCGCCCTTGGGCACGGTCAGCTTGCCCACCTGCAGATCCTCGAGGACCTTCCTGGAGAAGAACGGCACCGAGGGGTAGATGCGCAGCGTCTCCTTGATCACCGCCTCCAAGTAGGGCATCGGTTCCTTCTCCCTGCCCTCCAGTTCGCTGGCCTCCTCGAAGGCCCTCTGCTGCACCGCGGGATTCTTGGAGAGCAGGCTCAGGGCAAAGGCGATGGCCGAACTGGTGGTGTCGTGTCCCTCGAACATGAAGGTGTCCACCTCCTCGCGAATGTCCGTGTCGCTCAGCTCCGCCCCACCGCCGGAGCCCTCCATTTGGGCCAGGAGCAGCATGTCCAGGAAGGCCAGTCGCCGCTTGCCACCCACATCGTCCTGCTGCTGCTGCTCCGATTCTGGGCGGGACTCGTTGCGCTCCTGGATCAGCTGCTCCCTGCGCAGCCGGATCACCCGGTTCGTCTCGTCGTGGAGCACCTTCAGGGCCGCCTCACGCTCCTTTCCCGGCTTGGAGTGCTTAAAGAATATGTTCAGGCGCTGCCAGAACGAGAAGCTCTGCTTGTGCATCACCCGGCAGATACTGTGGTTGAAAATAAAATAAATATAAATATTAAGAAATAAAAACGTTTCTAAATTAAACAATAAATTTGATGTATAAAAAGATTCAAAACTCTAACATTATAAAAATTGTGGGAATAAGAAATCAGGAAAAAAGAAAAACATTGAAATTTATGCAATTAATATTACCGCAAAATAAAAAGTGTATTTAAATGCATACATCAAAGCCAAACAACAATAAATATCCCAAAAGAAACGATATTGTGGATACACTGATAAAATAAATTGAGTAGTAGTTTAAATATTAAATCATAATATTAAATACAATGCATATTTAAAATAAAATATTTTATTTTAATATATTTTATTTCTATAATATTTATTTAATAAATTTTAATTAATGTGGAAAATATTTAATTTAAATTCATTTTATTTAGGAAGAATATGGTTTTAATGTTAATTAAAATTTCTGATAGTAAAATCAATTCCTAAAATTGTCAAATGAACAATTTAAAAAAATGAATTAATTTATTAATTAATTAATCAATTAAATAATTAATTAAAATTAAATCGAATGCAAAATGTACTTACGCCTGAACAGCCTGCACATAGTCCGAATCGCTCTGCAGTTGGGCGTGCTTCTTAATGCCCATGGCCGTTTCACAGATGGCGTCCAGGGCGAAGAGGGTGATGTAGGGATAGATGTCGAAGGACTCGCCATTGGCCTTGGTCTTCAGGCGATTGACCAGGATGCGGCAGTTCTCCTCCATGGGTTCCTTGAACTCGCCAAGGATGCGGAAGTGGAAGCCCGGAGTGAGCAACTTGCGCCGGCGGTGCCAGGATTCGCCTCCATTCGTGAGTAATCCCTTGCCCAGCCAGGGCTCCAGCAATTCGTAGTTCCGCGACTTGGTCAGCAGCTGATTGTTGCCCAGCAATTGCTTGATGTCCTCCGGATCCGTGAACATCACCATCAGATCCTTGCCGAACCAAATGCGAAAGACCGAGCCATGGCGCTCCCTCAGCTCTTTCAGCCAGTTGAGAATCTCTGGGTTGAACAAAATGATATGAATATTTGGGCTTAGGCAAAGAAAGTCTTAAGGTAGATCTATAAGGAAGGTATTTATTTAAAAATAAGCATTTTAATATGTAACAGATTTAACTCCCTCTCTCTCTCTCTCTCTAAAAATCATTATAAAAAAGTTAAAAAAAAGTTAAACATTATATTTATATTTATGAAAAGTTCTAAGTGCCTGACTTGACTAGTCTTTATTTGCCAACCTGTTAAGTCATTTGACAACTACCAATGGTGAATTGGATTTAAATGAAACAAAAAAACTAGCTTGACAAGCTTAAAAATCAACAAGCTTTAGCATAGTTATAAACACAACAGTGGCATTGCGTTGATAAATTAACAAATTATTAACAATTCAAATTAGGTTTTTATTATGCTTTTTTGTTTTTTCTTTTACCTTTACTTTGAGCGCCACTTATATTAATTTAACGTTTACAAATATTTTAAATGTTTCATTCAAAGAAAATGAAATAGTATAATAGAACTACATATTAAAACGTAGGAGTAAAAATGGTTCGTAATTATGTCCATCTGCTATATTTAATAAGTGTTATTATTAAAGCCATTATGACATAGCAATTAAGATTGCAGACAACTATAATACTCATTAAATTTATAGTTAAATAAATATAAGCAAAGCTTTCTCTTACAGTCAGCAACTTAATGTAAATAGGATAAGCTAGCAACGTCAACGCTGCGTATGCGTGATAAAATGTAGTACTATTTCGAGGGCATCAAATGCTTTTCTTCTAGGCCTTTTTTGACTGGAGATCTTTGAAACAAACTTACCCCCTTTCTTGACATTCTCGATCAGTTCACCAATCGATGGACCTGGCAATGTTTTAGCGAATCTCTGAAGCCTCAGGAAATTGAGGATCTTTGGTAAATATCGCAGGAAAAGTGCCCAAAGGACGAACGCCAGCAGTGCCAGGGTGCTCATTTCGCCACCGATTTCAGACTTATACTGGCTCAACGACCCCAAGCAACGGCGCCTTTATAATAAATCAAGCATCAACCTGTTAATGTGACGAGTGACACTGGATGACTAGCTTGCGAGCATAAAGTTTTGCGCGAACCGCTCCACGTTGTTGCTCGATTGCAACTAATTCGCACTCGGAACGCAGCTGTCTGAATTGGGGTCTGGGCTATATGTGTGTGGTTTATGGTCCGAGCTCTGGGTCTCGCCAAGGTGGGCAACTCTGGATGCCCTCCGCCTGTTGATAAGAAGCTGCCAGGTTAGAAGCAACGGAAATGAGTCCCTAATTCCGAGCAGCTGCTCTTTATCAGTGGTTTTTATTAATAGATCAATTTTTTTCCAAGATGAAATAAAGACATCTTTTCGCATCAACAAAGAGCGAAAAGGAAAATATTCAAATTATTTTAAAAAGTATCATATTACTTTCATGAAAGTATTCTTTTGATATTTTTTTTGATATTAATTTTTTTTTAATATTTAGAACATATTTTTATATTAATATTTTTAGCCAGAGCTACATTCTTTAAATATATGTATAATCAGTTCTTTAAACACATTTATAAGGAAACATTTATTAAACATATTCATGTTAAATAAAGCCAGTTATATAGCAAATTATGAAAATACATAATAATATTCAAATATTAATCATAGTTAAACCATGTACATTTTATCGAGATTTTCTATGCTACTTTTCTTTTCATAATATTTTATATATTTATAACCTTAGAATATTACTAGCCAGAACTACTTTATTTAAAAAAAAAATGTATAATCAGCTCTTAAAAACACTGCCTTTATAAATACTTAAATATTTCTAGGTTATCCTTATTTTGATCATTTAATTTTTGTTAATTTTGTTCACTAGTAGTCAGTATTTACTTTTTGACCTACAAACAGCCAATCTATTGCGTAGGCAATCTGATTAATTGTTCGAAGTACGCACCCCAAACTGAAAAATAACCATTTGGGTCATAAACAAAAATTCCCAAGTGCTTGAAACTAGATTATGGCGAAAACAACCCGAAAACATATCATGAATTAGCCCTAATTTTTACGTTATCTAAGAACTAAAGCAGGTAATTAACAATTAAAAGATAGAGCTTTGAAAAATATAGTTTTACAACCATGAGTTGGTTGGATATTATTCCTAAATGTAAACAAAATGTATGATGGAAATATATGTATAAGACCTTTAAATTGTAATACTCATTCTTAGCATATTAAACAAAATGTAAGATGGAAATATATATTGGAAGTTATTTCCTAATAATATGACTACCATTTTAATGTTTAAATTAAGACTTGATATGATAGTAATAAGTTCACAATAGTATACATTTCAATAAATATTTTTTTTTCCTGCGTGTGGGCAAAAGGTAAAGGCCCTTAAAAAATACTGAACAGCAAGGAATTTAAAATACATGTTCCAATTTAATTATGTCTTGAAAGGTGTGCATACGCTCGATCAGGTGTAGCGAAACTCTCGCCAAATTGGGGATCCCGTGGTGGTGGGGCTAGCATTGGAATGGATTGGCCAGACCCAAAAACGAGTTCTATTACAACGACGATCGTACGAACGGCAGCTCCAACGTTGACGTTGACCCACATAGAACATTTGTATATATTATGTATATAGTCACTAAATAAAAATAAAACTTTTCAGAACTGGTTACTTTGCACACCCTTTCGATATAAGATCTTATCATTAAGCTGCTCTTAATTTGCCTTAACAATTTAACTTATCTCCCAGAAGAATAAACTTTGCAACTCAAAGTTCAGTATATTTTTTTCTAACTAAGTAAACCGAAATGAACTTTATTTTACATCCTATTATAAAATGATTTTCATTATTTGTCTTATCTTGTCTATTTGTCTATCTTATCATGCACAAAAACTAAAAGGGAATTATTTCCAGTATGAAACTCAAAGTTCAGTAAATTGCGTAAACTGAAGTTAGCAAAGACGCCACCTGACAATCAGACATAATAATTTTAATATATTCCATTTGAGAGTTCAAGTTAGAGGCTGATTGATTACAGGTCAATGGGTTAATCTACTAATAGTCCCATTTAAATACACTATATTGTTTCCTCCATCCTAACAGTTTTCTAGGTTGCTTTATATTGTCGACTTATCTTTTACCTTGCAGCTTGCATTTGATTAGAATTCGAGTGGGAAGTAATTTTACTTAATGCACTTGGAAAAAAATTATAAAGCAATATTTAGTTTTACGAGATAGTTATTCGTTAGCTAGTGCTCTTTTACAAAGCTTGGCTGTCTTTTTATACCCTTGCAGAGGGTATTATAATTTCAGTCCGTCCGTTTGTCCGTCGAATCTACGCAATCTAGTCTCTCAGTTTTAAAGCTATCTGCATGAAACTTTCCCAGAAGTTGTTTTTCTATTGCAGGTACTACCTCCGGATCCGGAAAGAGCCGGATCGGACGGATAGGAACAATCGGAAAAATAAATAAAAAAAAATATAATTTTGCTGTTATTTAATTTTTTATTTAGTTCTTCGACATATAGTTATGGTTAAATATTTCAGAATTACGGTTTAAATTTCATTGAAATCGGACGACTATAGAATAAAACTCCCATGGGAGCAATAAAAATATTTTAAAAATATCAAAAAAATTTTTTTTTTGTTTTTATTATTTTTTTAAACATATTCGCAAGTAAACCATGTTTTCAAGAACATTTAATTTTGCAATAGCTGCAAGGGTATATGAACTTCGGATTGCCGAAGTTTGCTTCCTTTCTTGTCTAGGTTGCTTTGTATTGTCGGCTTATCTTTTACCTTGCAGCTTGCATTTGATTAGAATTCTAGTGGGATGTAATTTTACTTAATACACTTGAAAAAAAAATTATAAAATAATATTTAGTTTTACGAGATAGTTATTCGTTATAATTAAAGTTATTTATCATAATTTCAGTCAGAAGTTTGCACCGCAGTAAAGGAGACACTTCCGACCCTATAAAGTATATATATTCTTGATCAGTATCACTAGAAGAATCGATCTAGCCATGTCCGTCTGTCTGTCCTTCTGTCCGTCCGTTTGTCCGTCCGTTTCTACGCAAACTAGTCTCTCAGTTTTAAAGCTATCTGCATGAAACTTTCCCAAAAGTTGTCTTTCCATTGCAGGTAGTACATAAATCGTAACGACGGATCGGACGACTATCGCATATAGTTCCCATAGGAATAATCGGAAAAATAAAAAAAAACTATAACCTTGCTGTTTTTTAATTTTTTATTTTAGTTCTTCCACATATAGTTATGGTTAAATATTTCAGAGTTACGATTCAAAATCATCATCAAAATCGGACGACTATATCATATAACTCCCAAAGAAAATAATAAATAAAAAAAATAAAGTTTTTTTTAAGTAACTTATCTATTTTGTAATTAAAAAAAATGTTTTTTGACTTATTAATAGCGGAAAACGATATCATATAGCTGCTATAGGAACTATCGAATAATTGAGCTGAAAATCATCATAGCTTCAATGTTTTTTAACATATACGCAAGTAAATCATAGTTTTAATGTTTTCAAGAACGTTTAATTTTTGCAATAGCTGCAAGGGTGTATGAACTTTGCTTCCTTACTTTTTTTTTGTTTATTATTTTCTTTTACACGCCACACAAGTATGGTCCTTGTGTTAGTGTATTCATAAGCAAAGATCCCAAATATTCGGGTATTAAGTGCAGGGCAGGTAAAAGCTTGTCAGTATTTTTATTTTGTTATAGGAGGCGCCCGTGTCTATCACGGCCAATAATCCACAGGTCCGCTGGGTGCCGTCTGCGGAGACGTCTTCGACCCAATGTAGTAGCAAGACGTCTAGCCAGACGGTTCGTGTAATCCAGCAAGCGATCTCTGTATCGATTTGAAAAGCTACAAATTGTCTCCGTAACCATCGGCACTCCCGTGTCCTGAAACAACATACGATTTTCGGCATAATGGTGCCATTTTATCCCCAGTATCCTCCTGAGCGCCTTTGATATGCACGTTTGTGTGCCCCAGCGTGTTACTCAATTTAACGTCGGGGGGACAATGGCCTTGAGGAGTCGCAACTTAGCCTGAAGGGTTAGACAGCGGTCTAACTGGTCGAAGAAGTCAGTCCATTCTGTCCCGTTTTGATCTAGCTGAGCCACACACGTGGTCAATTTGTCCTAGTGTTTGATTATATGAGTTTTCCTGTTGCAATATGCTAAGTTTGGAGGAGTATTTTTATGAGTTTTTTTTTTATAACAAGAAGAAGTGTTGTTGTGTAGGTCTGATTGTTTTGATTTTATTTATTGTTTGACTTAGTATTGTTTAATTGTGAATGCACATAAAAGTGCGTTTTCGTTGCCTTTTATGTCGATGTGGGTAGGAATCCAAATAAATTTTATGTATGGGAAATGGTTAACAATAAGGTTTCTGATGGTTAATGGATAGTAGGAGTGGTTGTTAACACTTCGTTCAATAAGTCTCCCAACTAACTTATTAAAACACATTTTTTCCGCAAAATTACTTTTATTCATCAACATAGTCCCCTTTTAGAAAGATACAATCATTGCAACGCTTTTTCAATCTTTCTAGGTATACCGCTTTTATAGAAATGTCCTTCAGTCTCGACGATTACTTCCTTATTCAAGTCAAATTTCTTACCAAGGGGCATATTTTTGAGTTCTGCGAAGAGCCAGTAGTTTGGAGAACGAACAACGTTGAGCTGATTGTATTGCAAACTGTTAGCCCTGCACGCGTTATAATTCGGCTCTAACTCGTCAGCGAATGTCGTATTGTTCTTGAGAGGCTGCATCTTACGGGTGCTCTTAAATATGTTTAACAAATAAAATATATCGCGTGCAAACAGGCAACGAGCCAATGTCGGCCGGAAAAGAGATAGCATAGCACACACACATCTCACATTACACGCCCTTAGATGTAAATGGGGGTGTTATCAGCCCACCCTTCCATGGCCAAAGCACTTCCAATAACATACTGCATCACGCCCCTTTTAATAACTGATTCTCTCGGGTTAGCACGGTGTTAAAGATATGTTTACTCAGACATTATAATAGTTGTGTATTCACTAAATGTAAGAGGCAAAGATATGAACTTCATTTAAATGTAGTTCTCTTGAATAATAATTATGTC